TGTGTGTGTGTGTGTGTGTGTGTGTGTGTGTGTGTGTGTGTGTGTGTGTGTGTGTATGGCTTATATTCAGGTGTGCTCTATAGTTTGGAAATTACAGTACATATATTTGTTACAGAGACCAACTATAAACATGAAATAAAGAAGCACGCGAGTATCATCTGACACCTGTTTGAAGAAGAGCGTCTCTCTGGGTTCAGGAGGAAGAGGTAGTATCGTCGCCTCTTTATTTTGGAGGCGCAGTGATTTGCGAGGCGGCAGCACTTCCTTTACTGAAGACTGAGCCCTGCAAACAGAGATTGCACATCAAAGCAAGACAGACATTTTTAGGCGTTACTGCATCTTTATAAATATATTAGATACACAATGGCAAGTCAAGAATCACATGTTAATATAGAAATAATATCAAGTGAAAACTATTCAATTTTAACAAAGTTCATGCTCAATCATCCAGGTATCAATCCAATAAATCTCAGTCAGGTCATCTGGAACAATTCATTTAAGGAGATGAAGTCAATTTGTCCTCTTTGAGTATCTTGAAATAAGATAGAAAAGTGCTATACAAGTACAGTCCATTTACCATTTAGTAGTCTAAGCCTATGGCAGAATAACAAGTCAACCCTAATTATAGGATTTATCAAAATAGAAAGTCTTAAGCCCAGTCTTAAAACTGGACAGTGTGTCAGCCTCACTGACAGAAACTGGAAGTTGGTTCCACAAGAGAGGAGCCTGATAACTGAAAGATCTTCCTCCCATTCTTTTAGAAACTCTAAGAACCACAAGTAAGCCTGCAGTCTGAGAGTGAAGTGCTGTTAGGAAAATATGGAACAATAAGATCGTGAATAAAAGATGGAGCTAGGTTGTTGAGGGCTTTGTAAGTTAGAAGTAAGATTTTGAATTCAGTTCTGGACTTGACAGGGAGCCAATGGAGAGAAGCTAAAACTGGAGAGATATGATCTCTCCTACTAACTCCAGTTAAGACTCTGGCAGAAGCATTTTGGATCAATTGAAGACGTTTTAAAGAAGTATTTGGACATCCAGACAATAAACCATTGCAATAGTCCAGTCTAGACGTGACAAATGCATGAACCAGTTTTTCTGCATCATTTTTAGATAAGATGTTTTTAATCTTAGTGATATTACGCAGGTGGAAGAAGGCGGTTCTAGTAACGTTTTTAATGTGGGGGAAAAAAAGACATGTCCTGTAACACCAAGATTTTTAACATTAGAGCTGGAGGCCAGATTAATGTCATCCAAGGAGAAAGACTGAAATTTTTAATCCTAAAATGCTCGTCTATGTGCGAAGAGCATCAACAGGTCTGTAGATACCTTAAACCTTTCTGCGATGACTTTGGTCGAGTCGGCTGCTTCAAGCCTTCTGTTGCCTTGTTGACAAAAAAAAAAAAAAAGAACAAGTTTAAATCCATCCCATCTGCTCAGAGTGAACACACCATCCACATGCAATGATGGGTGCAAAAACACATTTTTAACAAATAGATGGGTTACTGTCATTCAATTGGCTTTAGATAACATACGTGTTCACCTTTAAAAAATGAAGTCAGACAGCTTTAAAAATGCATTCGTTTTGAGGTAAACTTGTGTGATGGCAGCGAGTCACAAACCCACCTGGAACAAGTTAATGGACGACATAAAAGCTTGGTTCTGTCTGATGTTCTCCAGGCGCTCCAGCTCATATGCAGAAAGTCCTCCACATGCACCCTGTTCCATAAAAACACCACACTGACATGAAACACCAAACAGGCACGGTCTACAATAAAGTGTGCAGTGGATCCATGCTTACAGAACTGTTCTCCACAGCATCGTTTTTAGCATCCTCTTCATCCTTTAACAACTTCTTCTGGGTCTTTCTTTCAGTTTTGATATTTAATTTCTGTCAACACAGGATGTATGTGGGCTTATTGACAAATAAAATAAACAACATTATTGCAAAGCATCATTGATGTTTTCTGGTGTCACGGACCCTTTTCTTCCTGGGGTTTTCATTAAATCTGTCTGGAGAGTACTGGAGGCGCTTCGGTACCAGCCGGGCTCTGCGAGATGACCGTCGAACCTCTGGAGTCAGGTTCTGTACGTCATAAACAATTAACCAAACAAACTCAACTCCTCATATAGGTTTTCCAAATTAAGCAAAAAGTTTAAAGGAACCCCTCAACAAAACGTTACATTTAGTTTAACTTTCTCAGACTCGTTAATGGCGTTCTTCGGCTGGCTCTCTCAGACTAACAAAGATGGATAAAAATAAATATATCAGCTACTTTTACTGTACCTCTACGGTATCCTCGCGTTTTGTTCGTATGGTCGCCATTTCGGTAAACTTGCGTTGGAAAATGTTCGTATTTTCCAAGACGAAATTGGACCGATAAACACGAACCTCACAGCTACGACTCGGGAACATAATTGGCGCCCGCGCGCCACCAGGAAATAAAGTTTTATAACAAGCCCCGCCCCTCGTGTGTTGTGCAACGCTTTTCTAGCAGTTCATTGGTTACAGTTCGAATACGTCACATGGCTCCTGCGGCCAGTAGCCAATGAGGATTTGAAGTCCGAGCTGTAAAATCGACCCTTGTTAATATGATGTCGCCCCCTTTCGGCTGAACTGTGTAACAGCAGTTACTGTTAATGAAAAAACTTCCCTTTTATTTGAAGACACGGGAAATTATGACAACATGCCAAAAATTTAATCTGGAACAATCTGCCCATTGATATTCATTCTGCAGAATTCATAAATTTTGCCTAAAAGCTCAAAAATAAATTTGCCCTGGCTTTTAACTCGTTTGGTTTGACTTCCATCTGAACCTCAGTGGCCATTTTCTTGTTTTAGTTTGTTCTTAGCCTATTTAATTATACTTGTGCTTTTAATGGTTGATCTTTCATTCATTATATTGCAGATTTCCTGTTTGTGTAGCACTTTGGTCAACATTGTTATTTTTACATGTGCTGTGTAAATAAAATTAATGTTCAGTTCAATGCAGTTTATTTATATAGTGCCAAGAAGTCATCCCAGGGCACTGAACAGAAACATTCAGATATAAAAATAATAAGTACACACTATTTATCTGAGGAGCAGACTGCTTTGAGTTTAACTCCATCACAGAACTCTCATCTTGAGCAAACATGAAGGCGATAGTGGAAAGGAAAAACTCCCTCATGACAAAGAAACCTTTAGCAGAACCAGACTCAGGACAAGCGGCCATCTGCTTCGACTGGCTGGGTTTGAGAGGAAGAGATACAATGGCAAGAATCACATGTTAAGATCGAAATAGTATCAAACGAAAACTTTTCAGTTTTAGCTAATCATTTAAAGAAATTAGGTCAATTTGTCCTCTAGTAGGACATAAGCATAACAAGCCAACCCCAACTATAGGATTTATCAAAAAGGAAAGTCTTAAGACCAGTCTTAAAACTGGACAATGTTTCAGCCTTACAGACAGAAACTGGAACTTGGTTCCACAAGAGAGGAGCCTGATAACTGAAATAACTTCCTCCCATTCTGCTTTTGGAAACTCTAGGAACCGCAAGTAAACCTGCAGTCTGACAGCGGCGTGTTCCTTTAGGAAAATGTAAAACAATAAGAACAAATTTAAACTTGAATGTCTAAACACAAACAAATTGTACCATTCTGTCATTGATTATGTTTATTTTATTTAAAAATGAACATTAGCACACCCTGTAAACAAGTCAAATTAAGTCACAGGCCTTTTGCATCACTTGTCCCTGATGGTGAAAAAATGATCTGAATAAACATGCATGTCTGCATATACTAGCAAAAACAAGCATTGTCCAATTATAACTCACACGCAAGAAAAATAACTCAAATTAAAATATTTTACAGAACAACTACAGAAAAAGAATAATTGACTGACATCTTTCTCTTACTGGTGAATTATTGTCTCCAAAATGTGTTGGATTCAGACATTTCTAGGTTAACAACATCTAACACAGCATGTTTTGTTCCCACTTGTTTCAAACAAATGGTAGGGGATAGGAAGAACATGTAGCCACTCCACACATGTTTTTTCCACGCTCAATCAAAAAATACCTGATGGAAATAAAAAAAGAGTAGATGTGAGCTCCAGCAGATCCTAACATAGACAATTACAAACAGACTATACTGTACTTACCCGTCTTGCCCCCAGGATGTTCCCCAAGAGTTCTTCACGATCCAATATGGCTTGCCATTATCATCACTGCCAAAACCCACAGCTAGAACTGCATGATTCACAGTGTCTGCTGTGTTCTTACACTGAGTGCTAAACAGACAAAACCAGATCAGTATGCCTCTTTAAACATTCTTCCTGCAAATGAAAAACGTTTTCTGTACTAACCCATTTGTGCAGTTCAACACCATTGATAAAATGAGACATTAGCGAGGACAGAAAGTTCACTGAGGTAAGGCAAGTCTTGATAAGGAGCCATCAGACCTTCACTGAGGTCTGATAGCTCCTCAGCCACCAATGTGGTCCTCTCACCTGGAGAAGACACCATCTTTATAGTGCTTAAAGTCAGACGTCACATCAAAACTGAAGGTAATGGGGTTGAGTCGGGCCACAGCGTCCACCATGGCCTTTTCATCATTCTGTGCATTCACAAACAAAATAGTTACAATTTAAATGAGAACGTAGAATAAATGCATTTGTACAAAATATTTGATGAGCCCGTTTGTAAAAGCTTAAATTTTTTTCTGCGGTTTCTTTACATCAGGTATATGCTCTCGCAAAGGGGTGTTGCACAGTCTTTTGCCTAGTTTCATATCCGAATGCTTACACAGGTTATGTTAACCACATCTTGGACAAAACTAGCTGCGAGCTGACGTTCAAATTTGCAGGTCCCAACCTAAAACAGTAAAGACAAAGAATATTTATTGTGATTTTATTTCCATAACTTCTACTCAATAAAATAAATATTGGATTGAAAGGATCATACAAAGCTTGTGTAAGGATAATCCTCCTCTGTCATAAGACCTTTGTTGTATTTAATATACTCAAAGGATTGGCTCGGGAGCCCCCTAAACAGAAAAAAGATGTTTTACACACAAATATAAGTTAAAATAAAGATAAAGCCTATCTCTGTTGTCAATCGTGGATGTTAAGGACGCATGTATAATTGAATTTATGATAACTAGTTTCCTGCTTTTTGGATTCGGCTGGTTCCTTGTCTATCAACAAACAAGGAAGTCGTCGGCAGCAAATTTGGTCCTGGTCAGGCTGCCTGCCTTATATGATGGCTTGGTTAGTGCCTTGAGCACCCAGACTCAAATGCTTTTGGCAGGATGGATTAGAGCTTGAGGAATACGCTCAGGCATGGTTCAATGGTGTGGCCATTTAATTTGGACGTTTCAGAACCGAGAGGACCAACAGACTCAAGGTAGACATAATCAGTAAAGTTCTGCCTGTCCCCAAAACAAACGTGTTTATCTGAATTCGGCTCCCTGACTGCCCTTGACAGGCCATCTTATCTTATCTTATCTTATCTTATCTTATCTTATCTTATCTTATCTTATCTTATCTTATCTTATCTTATCTTATCGTCTGGAAGCTCTATAAACCTTGATGCTCTGCCCCTCCCCCCACCGAGGAAGTCTATGGATCAATCAGAGGGGCGTGTGTGAGAGGTTTATTTTCCCATTTTCATGCTTTTAATCTTCAGCCAAAGATTAAGAGCATGTTAGGATTTTTTTTGCCTGCAAAACCACTTTCTCCACTTATTGTCTGTCCAAGAACCCTGCAGATGTTGGATGCTGTCTATCATGGTGCACTAAGATTCATAACTGGCTGTAACTACCGTACTCATCATTGCACCCTGTATTCACTGGTTAACTGGACATCATTAACTTCACACAGACTCTCTCACTGGTACATTTTCATCTTTAAATCACTTCTTGGTCTGCTGCCTTCATACATCTCCTCCTACATGTCTCTGTGTGAGTGCAGCTACAGCGTGCGCTCTCAGGACATTATTACCTGCAGTGTTCCCACAGTGCGGACTGAACTTGGCAAATGGGCCTTCTCCTACTCCGCTCCTGTTTCCTGGAATATCTTACAAAAAGACCTGAAGCTCTCGACCTTGACCTCTCTAAGTGGCTTTAAAAATCTGTTGGACTCCTGGCAGGGACCAATGCAGACATGTTCCTGTTTTTAGTTTTCTACATTCGCCTTATAATCTAGCTATTTTTGTTACTTTTTTGGCCATCTTATTTGTAAAAAAAAAATAAAAAATATGTATGCCTTTTTATAACTGTCTATTGTTGTAGCTGTTGTCCATTGTTGTCATCATTCTTTGTTGAAATCAGGTCCCTCTTGTAAATGAGTCTTCGAGGCTCAATGTGATTTATCAGTTTAAATAAAGGTTGAATGGATGAAAAAACGTTTTGCAGCTACTATCTGAAGAATAACAGCTAACAAATTACCCCAAGCAGCCAAAGTTGTTGAAGGGTTTGGAACAGTCTAACAGCTGCTGCTCAGACTGAAAGAAAGAATAATAATTTGCATTAATTCTCAGAAATAAACATGTTATATGTAACACTTTAAATTATATATGCAAAAAATTAAACTGAGTTTAAAATGTATTGTATTCATCAAACATTTGTAGAGTTTTATTTCTGTTTTAATAAAGTTATGAAGTTGCTAAAAGTATTTACCAAAGATATTAGCTTTCCAGTTGCAATAGCATTTACTGACTCCAGACAGCCGGTGGATGAAAAAGCCCAACAGCTTCCACAGAAACCCTAAAAACAAACATCAAATATAGCCACTAAAACAACTTTTATTTGCTTTCATCAAAGCATTTTTCAACTTGTATTGCATATTGAGAGATATTTTTTCTCACTCATTTGAAAGCTTCATGAAAATCAAGTACTAATAGCTTTATTAAAGACAATTTATTTTTAGTTTACTACTTAATATAACTTTCATGGACAGAACTTCTCAGTGCAGCCAGTGGGCTGAGAGATTCCATCTCTGCTCTTTGCAGATGATGTGGTCCTGTTGGCTTCATCCTGCAGTGATCTTCAACTCTCACTGGAGTGGTCCGCAGCCGAGTGTGAAGCAGCTGGGATGAGAATCAGCACCTCCAAATCCAAGGTCATGGTCCTCAACTGGAAAAGGATGGATTGCTCTTTTCAGGTTGAGGGTGAGGTTCTCCCTCAAGTGGAGGAGTTCAAGTATCTTGGGGTTTTGTTCACAACTGAGGGAAGAATGAAGCATGAGATTGACAGATGGATTGGTTCGACTGTGCCTGTCTGTTGTGGTGACGAGGAAGCTGAGCTGTAAGGCAGAGCTCTCTGTTTACTGGTCAGTCTACGTTCCTACCCTCTCCTAGAACCAGAAACTTTGGGTAGTGACTGAAATAGCAAGATCGCAGATACAGGCAGTCGAATTGAGAAGGCTGAGAAGTTCACTTATCCAGGAGAGACTCAAAGTAGAACCGCTGCTCCTCCACATCCAGAGGAGCCAGATGGTTCTGGTAAGAATGCTCCCTGGGGACCTCCCAAGGGAGGTGCTTTGGGAATGTCCACCATTAAGGAAAGTGAGGGGTCGACCCAGAACATGCTGGAGAGAACATGTCTCTCGGTTGGCCTGTAAGCACCTTAAGTCCACCCAGAAGAGCTGGAAGAGGTGGCTGTGGAGAGATGTCTGGTCCTCCCTGCTCAAGATGCTGCCCCCGCAACTCCAGAACAAACAGAAGATAATAGATGGATGGACAGAGTGGACATATTGTAGCATTTTTAGGTTTATTTGTAAATAATGTGTTCAGCAGCAAAGTTATTGTGAACTTTCCTCAAACAAGATGCACAATTATAATTACACAATATATTTTCTGACTTATGTTGTAAATATAGTATAATTATAGTGGAAAATAGTCATTAAAATCCTTTTTTTATTGCATTTGATCGTACAATAAAGGATTTAATGAAGATATTTAAGTCTCTAAAACCACTTTGTACATGGTAGATTTTTATCTGTTCAGGATCACTCAAGGATACCTGGTTCTTCACCGGAGTGATGAAGTTGCCCTTCACCCTCCAGTCTATAAACTCTGGGTGTGGTCCGGTGCCGGAGACATGATTCCCTTTAGTGACTGAACAGCTCTACAAAAAGACACAAACCCACAAGATGATAAACAAAACTCAAATCGTACACTTTATCTGTCTGTATTAAAGTCTGATATTTCCACCTGAGACGGCGTCTGAAGGTAGAATTTTTTGAACTCCTCAAACGTCAGGTCTGAGAACTGGTTCAGGCCCACTAGAGTCCAAAATGAGCAGAACTTGAAGTTTCTCCTGACTTTATACTTTCAACAAACCTCATATTTGACTGTTAAACTTTGTGGTGCTACATTAATTTATTATGAGGCTGGAGTTGGGTACAAAACTTTACTTGTAAAGGAGTTATTCCCAGCATTGTGACGATCAATCGTCCTCTTGTTCTCAGTAAATATACTGAGTCGATGGTAGTAATCCTCAGTGGTGTAAAGTCTGTTGTGCTGCACACGACAAACAATATATAAATATATTTATTGTGCAAAATTAAAATTGTTCTCATAAAATACTATAATTAATAAAAATATTTTAAAAATCAGTAAATAAATTAGAAGACTGCTTACCTGTGACACCCACTGCTTAAAATGATATTCTTCTGACAGGACACAGAAAAATATTTCATTTAGTACAAGTTTTTTTCAAACTGAGTGGTGCAAGGAAATTTTTCTTAGAAATTAATCTATGAATCAAATGAGTACAATACCAAGTTTCCTGTTTGATTTTGATATTTATGATGCCACAAACATCCACAGCAGTGATAAAACAATAAGAATTTACTGTGTTAAGGTAAATACTGCTCATTTTGTCATCGCAGATTCGGCAACTATCTGCTGAAAACTTGTGATTTCAAGATAATCAAATTTAAAATGCCACGCGATATCTTTATCTATAATTTATACAATTTGTTTCTAGAGCCAATCCATCAAGGTTGAGTCAGGTCCTCTGGACAGGTTCTTCTTTGCTGAAACGTTTCATTGTTCTTTCTTCTGTCACGTTACAAAGAATCCGACCTGGCTTAGATTTACTGAGCATGCATCAGGACGTAGAGACAACTTTCCTCGTGACCTTTCAAAGATATATGTGATTTTTTTGGGGGTAATTATTCTATAGTCCTTTGTGTTTATTATTAGATTTTGATTGTGCTTTATATTCTGTTATCTGATTGTTGTGTTTAGCTCTGGTACTTGTGTTTGCCTCTGTGCCACCCGTCACTTCTCCCGCAGTTAGTGCTTCCTACACTCAGACACCTACACCTGTTCCCTGTTTCCTAGTCATCAACCCATCCATATAAACCTCAGTCTCCACTCCAGAAATCAATGGATCATTTCACATTCTTACCTTCCTCGTCCAGTTCCTTCCATGCCTGTTAAGCGATTCTCCTTAACCCAGTTTCTGTAAATTGGCTGCCTTGTCAGCCTTTTTTGTTTTGTTTTTGGGAATAAAGTTGTTTATTTTTAAGCTCTTAGTCTATAGGTCCAATCCTCATAAGGCCGTGAGCTTGGTCTACTGGGTTTGTTTTAGACTTTGCTTCTTCTTTGGACTTTGGCTTCTTTTTCTCTCATTTTCATTTTCGCCTTTCTATCTTAATGAGATACTCAAAGTGTTTGACACTACAATCTGTGTCCTTATTTACCCATTCATACAGCACTCTATTATATCTCTACAAATCTAATTGAACAAATCATTCTAAAGAGACTAATCAGAGCTTTATCACATTCATACACCGATGGGACACACATCAGAGGCAGTGAGGGGTTCAGTGTCTTGCCCAGGGACACTTCGGCATGTGACTGCTGGTGGATTCGAACCCCCAACATTGGAGGACGACTGCTCTAACCACTCAGCCACAGCCGCCCCAGATGAACATTATTTAAAACCCATCCATCCTTCATCTTTGACCTGCTTTTTCCTTTTCGGGCCACGGGGGTCACTGGTGCCCATATCCAGCAGGCAAGGGACACCCTGGACAGGTCTCCAGTCCATCACAGGGACATTCACCATTCACTCTCTCACTCACACCTAGGGACAATTCAGAGTTACCAATCAGCCTAACATGCATGTTTTTGGTCTGTGGGAGGAAACTGGAGTACCTGGAGAAAACCCACGCATGCACGAAGAGAACATGCAAACTCCACCCAGAAAGGCCCCCGGCAGGGATATGAATCATCAACCTGCTTGCCGAGAGGTAACAGCTCTACCAACTGAGCCACCATGCAGCCCCATTTAAAAGCACCCATCCATCCATCCATTTTCTTTACCCGCTTATTCCATTTCGGGTCACGGGGGTCGCTGGTGCCCATGTCCAGCAATCACTGTGCGAGGGGCGGGGTACACCCTGGACGGGTCGCAAGTCCATCACAGGGCCACATAGAGACAAACGAGACAAACAAACATTCACTCTCTCACTCACACCTAGGGACAATTTTAGAGTTACCAATCAGCCTAACATGCATGTTTTTGGACTGTGGGAGGAAACCGGAGTACCCGGAGAAAACCCACGCATGCACGGAGAGAACATGCAAACTCCACCCAGAAAGGCCCCTGGACCGGGGTTTGAACCAGGGACCTGCTCGCTGAGAGGCAGCAGCTCTACCAGTTGTGCCACCGTGCTGCCCCATTTAAAAGCAATTGCTTAAAAAAAAAAAAAAAAGATCTGACCCATCTGAGAGAGCATCCTTTGATTGATCATCTACTGGATGACCAATAACTCTTGGAGAATCAGCTTTTGGCATGTTCATGACGTCAGCTAAAGGAATGGGAACAAATTGCATCTTAGTCAGGCGTCTGGTCACAAAGAACGATCCAAAAACGCAGATCAGAGGTATTTGGCTTAAAAACAAAAATGTCTGAAAACGTTTAGCCTCTAAGCTGAAAATGAATGAAAAAGCAGCCGAAGTTCAACAAAAACCTTTAAAAGCCTCCAGTACTACTGATCAAGACCACTTTAAAAGATGACAAGAAAGTCAGGTTAATTGGCAGCAACACGTAACGAACAGCTCAAGACTTTCCCTGCCCTATGAATAGAAACAAAACGTAGAAAACTTACCCTCTTGTGAGAATAAAGGAGTTGAACGAACAAAGCATAAAGCGATGTTAATAAACCACAAAACAACCACACTAAGAGCCATACTTCCCCCCAGCAAACTAAAACAAGCTGTGATGGAGTCAGGTGATTTTTTTTCCTCTTTACCAGAACCACTACCCCCCCCCCCCCCCCCCCCCACCACCACCCCCCACCCCCCGCCACATGCAAAACTACCAGCAGACTTCATGGTTATGCACTTAGCTCCAAATGTAAACCACAAACGAGACGACGCTGAAAGGCTCGGCCCCCTGAGAAAAAACAGATTTATTAACAAGAGGTAATCAGGAAAGAGCACACTTTTATACAAAACTGGAAATACGACTCAAGCTGTTGAAATAGACTGAAAGCTAATTCTCATGTCAAAGGGTATTGCTCACTGCAAACGTCTGATGTGCCTGTTGGAGGATACAGATCCAGGTGCAAGGGTGGGGTTTAAATACAGCACACGAACCTCTCTCTCTATATATATATAGATTCAATTTGAGCACGTCAAAGTGGTGCATGCCTGCCACTTAAGCTGTAGGTGTTTATCTATACAAAGCATGTAAAAAATACATATAAATATTTCAAGAAGCACATTAATACCACTGCATGGCTCCTGCTAACACAAAGGGATAGACAGGATATGTGTTACACTTATAAGTTGGTTTGAAAGTATCATACACAGGAAAGTTGTTACGGAGCAGAACCATCATAAGGAGGATGTTTTAACACTTTGCATGTGAGGAAACGCATCGAACTGCCTGTACGCAGCCAATATCGCTGCTTCATTGGCAAGTCGTAGAACTAAATAGTTTACATAGTTTTGTGGCATATGATCCGTTTCCCGATTAAGGCAAGGACCCATAATGGACTGGCCAAAGAGGATTAACTCTAAAAATTGAACTCTGTCTGAGAGAAAAAGCTGGAATTTAACTTTTGTAAGTGGCTCAAACTGGTTACGATTGCTACATACAGTGCCAGGTGCTTCTTTATATACATCATCATGGTGCCCACCAGGGGAAAGAATACAAAATAACTCTGAATAGAAACATAATAGATTTGCTGGGATCGGTCCAATCCAACGTGCGACAACAGAGCATGTGATTCTACTTTTGCCACTTTTTTTTTCTACAGCTGAGAAAAGAAAAAAAACTTTTAAAAACGCATCTGAACTTTGTTTCATAGCTGCAACTCCATTCAGTTAATATTAACATTCAGCTTGTGGCTGTTTTGATTGTTAAATGTTGAGGGTTTGACGGATTTTAAGGGCTAAATTCAAATCAGTGTTTAGAGCAAACAAAAGATTACATCTTTGTTATTTATTAAAATCAATACATATGCTTTCTCTTTGTGTAATGTGAGCTTAAGTTAAAAAAAAAGATCTTATGAAGTGGGTTTTATGGAAAGGCTATGAACAGTTAATATCTTACCTGTTGTAGCTTTTTGAACAACCTGCTGTAAATATGAAGAAATATAATAGTGTGAATGTTTATGAAGCATTCACACTATTATTATCCATTTGTCTTCCATACGTTTTTCGGTGCGAGTCTCGTCCCGCAGTTTTGAAGCTATTTCAACAAGTCATTTATCAAAACATTCAGCTCATTCAGGACAATCCTGCTATGACTTTTGGTGCATCTTTAGCTTTTTGAAATATTTAGCTTTTTCTGCCTTTTTTTTTTTTTGTCTAAAAGAAAATGAACTGAGCTCATTTTACATCCTTCAAATCGTTAGATCTGTTTACAACCTTTTACTGATCTTTTCACATTTTGTTTTGGTTCAGCTTCTTTCAGCTTCCTTGTGCAAATTTCAACATTTTTTTTCAGCTACTTTCAGCTGTTTTGTGCTCCTTTCAGATTCTTTTTGCTAACTTCAACATTTTTGTGCTTCTTCTAACTTCTAATTTCAGCTTATGCTCTTTTCAGCTTATTTCTGCAAGTTTCAGCTTTTTCTGCTATTTCAGCTACTATTTAGCTGTTTAGGCTAATTTTAGCCTTTTCAGATAATTCCACTTTTTTTTTTTTTAGCTAATTTCAACTCTTTCTGCTTCCTTCTAGTAGGTTAAGGTTATTTCTGACTTTTCAGCTACTTTCAGCTGTTTTTTGCTCATTTCAGCAGTTTTAGCTTGTTTCCCAATTTTTGTACTAATTTCTGCTTATTTAACCCTCACTCATCAAATATGTGTTCTTTCTTCCATCTTCTGCCATTTTAGGCTTGCTCTTCCATTTCAGCTACAATTCAGATTTGTTTTAGCTACTTTCAGCTGTTTTTCTGCAATTTCTTCAGCAATAAGCATCCACACTGCTTTTTTGCAGGAAATGCAATTTCTCTAGTTCAGATTAAACTGATGAGCTCACAGTTAGCTAGAGCGGGGTCAAGCCAACCAAAACAACTCTAATCTATAATTTTTATAGCTGTTTAAGACAAGGTTTTATAAACCTTTACAACGTGTTCAGTTTCACGGTTATTGTTTCAGTACGCAGGCGGTCACATATAATGCACAGGGATTTTTGCTAGTTCAAATAGCAGCAGCAGCTTTCTGTACCACTTCCAGCAGAAACATCATATTTCTGCAGGAGTAGCCATGTAAAATGAAACTGATGGGAATGTAAAGTTTACAAAGTCATATTCACATGAACTGCTATGATTTTATTGAGATCAGAGTTGTTTTAGGAAGGCAGCCATTCACTTGTTTCTTTGTCCCGTTAGCTCATTAATCAAGTCAAAATTAAACTCCATTTCTCCGAACTGAAGTTATTTAAAACTCTGTCTACAACAGGTAAGATAATAATTACTTATAAACTCTCCACAGAACCCCATATCAACGGACCTGAACGATCCTGGACCTCAGCAGTTGATCCTGCATCATCTCTCATGACTGAGAGCTTTTTCATTGTTTTAATTTAGAAAAAAAAAACTAAATATTTGACTCTATAAACGCTCTTCGTTGTTTGTTTTGTAGCTTAAAATAAATAAATAAATCACAGAATAGCTTTTTAGACAATAAATGACACATAAATATTCTATATCTATAGAAATAAAACCTCTCTGGGCTTCTACTCAGTTAATAATAATTATACACAAAGCATCCGTTGGAGAGGGCGTAGTCCACCATGTCTATTACAGATAATGTACATGTGGACATCTTGTTTTAAAGTGACAGAGATCCTCTTCATGATGAAGTTTTGGGCTCGATTCTCAGAGATGCTTCATACAGGCTCTCCTCATCCAGAACTGTACTGAGGTCCAGCAGGTACTTTGCCGCCTACAAGAACACAGAGCACAGTCAAGAAACACTTTTGAAAATTTGATTCTGATCATCTACAGTCGTCTGCAAAAGGCTCAAGTCATTTAAAGCAGCCGGACTTAATATATATATATATTTTTAAGTGGCAGTCAGGATCGGTGCTTTTATGAGTGGTCGTTTGTGTTTTATTATTTGTTCCCTTTCGGTTGCGTTTAGATTTCTGTGGGTTGCTGTTCTTGAGTTTGGTTCTGTTCCTTGTGTCGTTCCTCACTTCTCCTCAGTCAGCTCGTACGCCTCAGAGTTTCTCCAGTCAGCCTGCCACGCCCATCTACACATGCTCCCTGTTTTATCTGCCACAGCTGCAGCCGCTTCCCTCATCAGTCCGTTTAGTTGTTTAAGCTGCTTGTGTGCATTCCTGCGTTCGATCTTACAAACCATGACAGGGATCGGTAGTTCTTCAGGATTCCTTTAAACTTTGTCTGCTTTTTCAGTCATTCCAGTCTGGTACTTGATCATTCACTGAGTAATGTATGTTTAATGTTTAATAAGCCTCTTAACTCTGACCTCATTCGGACTTTAAAAAGCCTCATAAACTCAACCTAGTTTTGCATCAACACATTACGCAATTTAAAAATGCAACATCTGTAGGAGTCCCAGTGTTTTCCCTCCTCGGCTTTCCTACATCAGAGGGCACCAACATAGTAAAACCTGAGATCCACTGGACCGAATGAGCTTAAGGAATATAAATATAAGCAGATGACTTCAACCCGACGTTGTTGCATTGTCTGCCTTATGGTAGTGTGCTCCTGGCCTGATTATTTACTCTTTGTGATTTGTAAAACTAGCGTTTGTGTTCATGCTCTAGTTCTGGCTCCTGTACCTGCACTAGAGATGCATTCGGGCCTAAAAAATCTGACCCGGCCCCAGCCCGCATGCCATTTGTCCAAGCCCGACCCGATAAATTAACTGTAATTAGAGGGCTGAACACCCCCCCCCCCCCCAAAAAGATGTTTTTTTTTTATTAATTGCTTTTGTAAGCAAATCAGTTTGACAATTTTAAAAACTTATTTCAAAGAAAGGAAGATACAATAGTTCTTGTTTATTAACAAGTTACCAAATGGATAACATACAAAACAAATAGCCTAAAAAAATCAACTCTATAAAGATAGGCGTATTATACAGATGAAGAAAAATATTTTTAGAGCAAAATTATTTGGAAAAATAGAACAAGGCTATTTTAATCGAACGCGCTACTCGCTTCGGCTTTTGTAGCTTCAGATGCTGCAACTTCCTTCACCGCAGGTGACAGCAGGGTGTGGAGCGAGACATGCACGTCCGGTGATCCGGTGATCCATCTGAAAATTAACTGGACTTTTTTTTTACCTCTTTCAACGGACGCGTGTGGCTGATGATCCCGTGCACCTGACACACATCAGCAGGTTGCACTGTGCTGGCTTGGTAGAGTGAGTTCTCCCACTTTTAGCTTTTGTTTAATACTTTCCAGCTCCATTATGTCTCTTGTTGTGGGTCAACTGCAAATCCTCAGACATGTGATCTTGACATGCTCAATTGTTGCGCAAATGCGCCAGCGCTACTCTCTCTTTTCACAGTCTGATTAACTTCTGCACTCTATTTTATTCCCTCCTCATCCTCAACATATAAACTCACTGCCTCCTCCTCAACAAGTAGATTAACACAATTTTATATTGTGCATTCTTATTTCAAATTCTTTGTGCTGTATGATTCGTAAAACTGCATCAAAAGCCCGAGACCGACCCAACCTGCCCATCAAGAACATAATTTGGACCCGAAGGGTCGGGCCGGGCCCAGGTTAGAAATCGCAGCTCTAACCTCTGCGCCCTGGATCTCCTGTTTTCCCCACTAAAACCTCCTCATGCTCTCTACAAGCTGCTCCTTGCCTTCCACCACTTGCCTCCTTGTTCAAACCCTCCTGGAACCATTTGGCCCATTCACCCAGTAAGAACCTTAACTGGACATTTTCTTCTCCCTGAGATTAATGAAACTCCTTAAATGAACATTGTTAACCTTTCATGGTCTTGGAGTTCTTTTCTTTCGGTCGGTTTCTATCTGGGCACATCTCAACTAGAGCTGCAATCTAAAATTTTATCTTCTGTAATCACAAGTAAAAAGTAAAGTACTGTATTACCTATTTCACATCAATTCTCTGTTTTTTTTTATTTTATTTAGTGAGATCCGTTTGTTATATTTTACAATTTAGGTCACAGAAAATACAGAAAACTATCTTTAGAATGAAAAACTTGAAACTCTGACCTTCGGCTGAAAGTCTATCTTGTAAGATGTTTGCTGAAACTGTCGGATCTCTCTGATAATATGAGATATCTGGGGGAGTACAAAAAAGAACAGAATTAACTAGGTGAAAGTTTTTCCAGGTGTTCATGACTAATAAACAGTAAAACATTAAAGTCATGTACAGACTGTTTGTTTTGTGTGTGTATTTTTACCATTCTCATCTTAGAGAAGTTGACCAGGTTGTCCTCGGTGTAGTTCGGAGTTCCCTCCTCGATGAAGGCCAAGTCCGTCAGATACATCCCCAGGTAGGGGACACAGGGAGGGTCACAGCTGTTAAAGAGATTACACAGGTGCACATGAAGAAATCCCTTCACCGCCAGGATGAGAGATGAAGTGAAATACCACACGCACTTACTTCTTCAGAGCTTCTCTCAAGTTTTTGAATCGACCCTCTGATGACACCAGCTTCTGTAGCTTATCAATCACAGTCTTTGTCTAGAAAAGCGCAACACTTCGGTTAGCTTAGAAATCCCAGCAACACATCAAAAACTCAAACCAGTGCCTCATTTGTTAAGAAGCCAATTTGTTCTCAGTAATTAAACGGTGACACCTGCTTGGAAACTTTGAGCCAGGTCCTCTTGAGGCGGAAGATGGAGCTGCGGTTGAGCGAGGATGTGATCTCCAGCACGGCGTTGTAGTTGTGGAGGCAGCGGCAGATGTCTGCCACCGCCACCCACTTCTCTATCACCGCCACACGCAGGTTCACGTCGTCCCAGTGAAGGATCTCCGAGGCGATCCTGTTACTGATCTGACAAAAAAAGGAAAAAAACTTATTTAAACTCGTCCATTGATCCGTCCATCTCAGCCCACAGGAAACACCTACATCGTTGAAGTGCTTGGTGGTTTTCATGATGTACGGGGTTCTCTCGTTCTTGTCGTTCTTCATCCAACCTTGACCAAAAAACTCCCTGAAAAGAAAAAAGTTTTGATGAAACGGATAAAAGGCACGTATGGATAAATAAATAAACACTTCTTTCAGTCATCTCTGGCACTCTGATGTCTTTGTCTCACGTCCTCGTCTGCAGGCGACTCACTCGTATGGGATGACTCTGAAGACCAGGTGGTCCAGCAGCGTGAGCTGCTCGGCAATCTCCAAAGCTGAGTGGTTCTCAAACGGTTCAGTCTTACTTTCTTCCATCGCCTGAATAAAAAAATAAAAAAATAAAAATGTAATAATTGTCGTACTTTCCACCATATAAATTGTATCTGTCCAAATATGTCTAATAAAGTGGAAAAAACATAAATACATCGCTTTGCCGTGTAAGTCTCATTTATTATGTGTCACCGCTGACAACCCGGAAACGTGGGCCGGTGTTGGACCAAAAATCGACTGGCTGCCAAATGGAAAACGCGGGAGCGTGCACGGGAGGAGTTTAACAAAATTTAACAAGACTAACACTTGAAAACAATGCATTTGAATTTCAAAAGCTGATTCGCGGCTGCGGGAGCGCACAGAGGGACGACTTGCTGTGCATTTCTTCGAAATTTGACAAGATAACCACCTAAAAATAATTATTTGTTTGATTGACATTATAGTAAAGGTGTGCCTTGGTTGAACTTTTCCTTAATAAATGCACTTTGATGGTCAAATCAGCTGCATTTCTCCTGGGCGGCACGGCAAAATGCAGCTGATTTGATGTTTGCTCCAGTAGTTCCAGCGTGAGATGAAGGTGGAACTATAGCAAGCCAAGTGTCTCATTAATAGCCACTATTACCTATTAATGAGACACTTGGCTTGCTATATAGCTCGAGGGCCCTCTAGCAGCTACAAATGGTAATGTTTAATATTTTTCATGTCAGAATGAATGAAATCGTCAGCTCTCAGCCAAAAATTGTGTTATAAATAAGGGAAAAATATGGGTATTAGTCGCTTTGGTGTATAAGTGGCAAGACTTGCAAATTTATGCAAAAAGCTGCTACTTATACGGTGAAAAATACCGTACAGACAAAGCAGTCATATTTGAGCAGATAGGTTCTGTGTTCCCCTCACCATCTGAGTGATCCCTTCAATGGTGGCCTGGCCGTCTCCTGGATCCTCCTGAGTGAGAGTCCTGAACAACAAAGGACATAAATGCTCTTAATGCTTGTAATAATTTATTCGTTTAGATTTTTGGAGCTTATATCTATGGAATAACAATGTTTAGAATACTTGTATGAAGAAAAGATGTCAGATTACACACAGGCCTGGACTTTTTCCTGCAGTTTATGCATGTTGGAGTCACGATTTTAAGATGTTCATGTTCAGTGTTTTAGTGTTTTGACCTGATTTATGTTTGATGTTAGTTTTATTTAAATTATTTTTGGAGTAATTTTGTTTTTTCCTTCTTATGTTATTCTTTGATTATCACGGTCACCAGATGTCAGGGGAATTTAGGTAAAGGTTTATGAATGTTTATCATTGCTAATGTTAAATTAATGTTGAACCATGGGTGTGAGGTCAGTGAGTTCTTTTTCTCTCACAGAGAGGAGCCAAGAGGCCGAGGTCATCGTGCTGATAAGTATTATAAAAACACTTCCTGCACACTGTCTGGTGCAGATCTTCACAACAGGGGCTTCAGCAAAACATCTGTGTAAGCCTGTGCAAACGTCTATCTTTGCAAGTAAACTGGGTTAAAAATATTCTCCTGTCTTCGTGTGTGGCTCTTTTTAGGTAAGTAATGAAATTGTATTTTTATTCAACACCAGATGTTTTCAGTTATCCCTGCTTAAAGCTCCTCAATAACCTGTTTTCCATTAGTAATCAGCACACCTGTGGTCAGTGATTAATAACCACCCTTCCCTGGAAATGCACTGCTTATCGTTGTCAGATCATCTGTTGAACTCCGTGTTTCCTGGTTTTAGTGTTCTTCTAGTTAAAAGTGTTGTTTTGTTAAGATGGACCCTTTTATTTGGGGTGCAGTGCCACCATTCAGCCATGCTCTGCATAATTTGATGAGAAGGTAAAAGCAAATCAGGATGATCAATGATGCATTTTATCTCCAGTTCCTCCTACTTTACTCTTTCAGAAGATGCTTAGAATCAATCACATTTATGCAAAACTGTTTTAAGCAGTATGCACACACAGATGTGTCATGTATGTATGTGTGTGTGGGATGATGCGTTAGTAACAGAAAGCCAACCTAATAATGTTGGCAGCTGCCTTTCTTTCCTGTGTCAGGAGCTCCGGGTCATGCATCACCTCCTCCAGGAAACTAATTACCCGCATCTTCAGTTCTGTGTTCTGCTCAAAGTCCTGAGGACACACAGAGGAGCAGCCGAGGTGTTATTACTCAGGTGTCGTCTCCTTCAAAGACACATGGACAAAAGGGAAGAAAGAAAGGTGAACTTTACCTGCGAGTGCTTGGAGACCCAGTGACGCAGCACATTCAGAACTCTGTTGGTAGCAGCTCGTCGGATGATAAACTCTTTGTCCCCATTCCTCTGGTCCGTAGGAAAACCTAGTCAAATTTAATAGTTACATTTAAATTAATACTTTTTTCTGAATGTCTCAATCCTTCACAGCCAAAAAAAAAAAAAAGGTTACATTTTCAAATAAACATGACTAAAGAAATTGCATTTCCTGCAAAAATACAGTTTGAATGCATATTGCTGAAGAAATTGCAGAAAAAAATGTGAAATTAACTAAAAAAACATACTGAAATTGAAGAACAAATTAGCAGAAGAAAGCAGAACGTGCTGAAATAGGCTTAAATAAGCAAAAATGAGCACCAAAATTAGGAAAATTGCTTAAAAAATTGCTTAAAAAACTGAAATTAACAAAACAAAAGGCTGAAAAGTAGCTGAAAGGCAGAAAGAAGCTTAAACTAGCAGAAATTATCATTGAAAACTTGAATTTATCTGAAAACAGATGAAATTAGCCAATAATAATAATGATAATAATGATAAATAAAATAAAAAAGGAAGCTGAACAGGTAGAACAAGCTTAAATTAGCATAAGAAAGCAGAAAGAACATGTTTGCCTAATTAGGCTGAAAGAATCAGAAATGGGCACAAAAAAAGTGGAAATTATCTGAAAAAAAGTTGAAATTAGCACAAAAAATGTTGAAAAGTATAGCTAAAACAGAAAGAAGCTGAAATTAACAGAAGAAAGTGGAGAGAGCACATTTTTGATGAATTAGGTAGAAAAAAGTTGAAATTAGTGCAAAAAAATGTGGAATTAGCTGAAAAAGATCAAATTAGCATAAAAATGCTAAATAGTAGAGAATGGAGATTATAGTAAAATAGGCTGAAATTTGCAGAAATAAGCTGAAAGGGGCATAACAAGCTTAAATTTGTAGAAATAAGTTAGAAGAAGCACAAAAATGTTGTAGTTAACAGAAAAATCTGAAAGGAGCACAAAACAGCTGAAATTAGCTAAAATGGCTGAAAAAAATGTTGAAATTTGCACAAAGAAGCTGAACCAGAACAAAATGTGAAAGGAGCAGTAAAAGGTTGTAAACAGATCTAAAGAGTTGAAGGGTGAGCTCAATTCATATTCTGAGGAAAAAAAGTGGCAGAAAAGGCTAAATATTTTAAAAAGCTAAAGTTGCACCAATATCAAAAGGCTCAGCAGGATTGTTGTGAACGAGCTGAACGTTTTAATATGTGATTCGATGAAAATGCTTGAAAACTGTGGGACGAGAACCATGCTGAAAAATATACGGAAGAAAAACGAATGCTTCAAAGCATTCGCACAAATATAGATTTAAAACAGGTGTTTCCTAAAGACTCGTCATTTCATGTTTTGGCCTCTTATTCCTACCTACAGTCAAAAGTAAAATCATCTGTTCTTTTGTTTTTGTTTTTTGTTGAAGAAAATAGAATGTGTCTAAAACGAGCTAGGAACTAAACAGCCTTTTTAAAAAAAATTTTATTGCTTAATTCATAGTTTGCAATCTCACCACAGCTAAACCTTTTCAGCAATCATTAAATAATAGCTAAAGATTTCAGATCGTGTTCCTTTGAGCAGGTTTCTGTGGTTCCCTTTAAACATCTGGGTGTCTGAGTGGACAGATGCAGAAAACTTATAGATATTGGTGACTCATCACCGCCAGATCCAAGTGTCACTGACCGGTGCTGGCGAGGGACATACGGCGGTACTTCTCCTTGGTCGGTGTGCCTTCGTTGGCACCAGCCGTAGCGATGGCGAAGGCCGAGGCAGCAGAAAGGGCACTGCGGTTATTGTCAAGCTCCCGGCAAGAGGACACCACCATTCCGTTGTTGAAGGAAAACAGGGAGAACTCTGCAGAGAGGGTGAAAAATCACAGGTGTTTATGTTGCTATGGTAAAATCATCCTGCACCGATAAAAGCAGGAACGGTCAAGGAGCATTCTCTTAAACTGACAATAATTTGCTCCTTTTTCTGAACCTAAAAGGATTTATGATTACAGGTTAACACCACCTCGGAGAGCTGTTTGCAAACTGAGCTGTTGACCATCAGAGGGCAACAAAGAGCTAAAGCAGACTCAGAACAATATGTCCTGCAGCTCTTCTCGGTGACGGCGTTCCCTCTCCCTACCTCCCTCCATTACTCACATGTTCCCCCCTCTGCCTTCCTCCGTTCAGCCGGGGGCGGCACACAAGAACACGCACGTCGTTGCTAAGGTACAAGGTTTCCTTCCACCTACTCACACAAGGCACTGGCTTCCCTTGTATCATGCAACGTAGGAAGAGAAGACACTGGGGATGAATTGTGCTCAACTACCTACGAGGTGGATGCTCCCTCGCTGTTCGGAGCGGGGAGGGCCGGGATGATGTGGGTGGTTTTTATCAAGACCTTATTTGGCTGTAGCTATGCTTGTCTGAAGGAGAGAAAAAAGTTTGTTTCAAGTCTTCTGTGGCTATATTTATTTATCAGTCTGAGCATGTTCGTCTGTTTAAACTTGTGCCATATAAAGATGGCGGTTTTAATTCATGTCAAGCAAAACCATATCTTGAACGTTACGTTGAAACGATCACTAGAATTTCTATTTTCCATCCTCAGGAGCATATAAACTGTGGGATCTCTCCAGTAATATGAAAGCACGTGAGTGTTAGCAAAATAACTCGTGAACCAGAGTAAGGATTTTAGTGGGACTCCCACAAAGTAATCATCTGATGTACAACAACTGGACACCAAAGATAATTAACGTATTAAACACAAAAATGGCTATAACTCATGTAATATATGCTCCTTCAAGGAATGCATGTTTCACGTTTTTGCGACCTTGAACTTTATTTTGAAGGATAAAACGAGAGTGGGGATGAGAACGAGATACAAAATGTGGACATTAAAGAGTTGAGATGATTTGAGTGGCAGAGATGTTGTACCAGAGTTTTTTGACTTGATGTTTTTGGGTGTTGATGGTGATTTGGGGGGAGACATTTCTGCTTCTGCTTCATCACTCTGACTTGGGTCTTCGTCGCCTTCCTCTCTCACAGACAGATCTAGAAAAAAAAGATGACATTTTACTGCTGAACTGAAATGGACGGCAGATTAAATAAAAAAAACAGCCTCAAGTGTGAAGAAACACAAATATAAATTTGTACTTTCCTGGTCAGTACATCAAAGTTCATGTTTAATAATCCAGGTAAAAAAATCCAACAAAGTTCAGTCAGGTCCTCGGACTGATGAAGTCCTTTGGATGAAGGATGAAACGTCTCAATAAGAAAAGAAACGATGACCTGACTGAACTTTGTTGGATTTTTTTTACCTGGATTATTGAGCATGAACTTTGATGTTTTGAACCACTTTGGAGGAGTTGACGGGGAAAAGAGCGGACCCCAGAACCATCTTATCACCAGCAAACTGGTTGATCCACTATGTGAGTGTGCTGCTTGAGGGACTGAGTTTGTTGTGGCTCCTCTGACTGATGAAGTCCTTTGGATGAAGGATGATGACCTGCCTGACTGGAATTTGCTGGGTTTACTGTTCAGAGTTAATGTTCCCTATTTGATCCTCAATTTTCTTCTCAAATTATTCTCATTTCAAAATTATAAAAGTTAATTTACTTTCTTTTGCATCACAAATGTCTACTGAATACATGAAATTAAAAAGCTCCCTCAGAGAGTTTTTTTTTTTACCTTGTTTGTTGAGGACAGACTCCTCAGCTTTGCTCTCAGCTTTGGGCTCCTCCTCATCAGGGATCTTGCTGGCCATGGTGCTGGACACGTAGAGCTTGTTGATGTCGAGCGTGGTCTTACCGAAGGGTGACATGGTGGTGTGCATGCTTGCATAGCCATTGGGGGAGCAGCTGAGTGCAGCTAGGTCCAGAGCTTTTCCCCCTGTGATGATGGGGATGTTGAGCGAGAGCTTACGCCGGCGGTTCGGCGAGGACGTCTTGGTGATGGAGAGGGGCGGAGGGGAGGAGAACTTGCGGCTGGCACGTGGCGACGTGGGCGACTCGCCATACAGAAGTTTGTTGTTCTGACTGCTGGCAAAGAAAAGCTCCAAGGAGCTGCAGGAGAGGGGAGAGGAAAACACAGAAGGATGATCCAAAACTCTTGAAACGGGTGGAGAAGTGAACGTGAAAAGCGGTGCACACGGGAGTCAGACGCAGAGAGGGAACACGTTAACTGCAGGGCTCCTCAGGAGCTACTTTGTTTAAGACAGCATCTTCCTTGCACTGGGAACCACCCCCTCCGAAGGCCTATAAATAGCATGTCAAGTGACAGTGTGGGAGGCACGGGTGCTGCCAACAGCAACCGGCCCAGGGGAGGCCCGCTGAGACAAGGAGAGAGGAAAACAGAGAGAGGGGAGACAAATGGAGACAGAGAAGGAAAGTGGGAGAAAAAGACTGGGGATTTGGTAATAATCTCAAACAAGCATGAGGAGGAAACAGAGAATGGGGGGGGGGGAGCATTGTTGATGTGGATTCCACCGGAGCGCTGGCTGAGAGTGGGCGAACGGGAAGCCTCCAGCCTGACATGATGCTGACTGCAGCCACGCTGGGGCTCCCAAATCCTAAAGTAAGGAAATTAGAAGAGCCAAGAGTGGAACGAGGAGTGAAGACAAGGAAAAAAAAAGTTAAATTTAGGAGAAGACACACGTTAAGGATTAAAAAAAAAAACACGAGGCAAAAGAGGAGCAAGGAGGAGCAGGAGAACGCAAGGTGCAAAACACCAGCATCAATATTTAATATCGAGGAGTTGCTGCAGATGATGGGGAAGGAGAGGACAGGAGAGAAGGGGTGGGGGGAGAGGGTGGGGTCCTGCAGCAAAGTAAAGGGTTGCCATGGTGACAGCGCAGCGGAGAGAGGGATGGTCAAACTCATGGAACGACATATAAAAGCGAGAGAATGGAGAAAGGTAGAGTGAGGAGTTAGAAAAACAGAAGGGGGGGGTCAGGGAGGAGGACGCAATTAACTCTGATGGCGGGCAGAAGACGTTGCCTGTGTGACCTCTCGCCGCCTCCTCCTCCTCCCCAGCCTCTTCTCACCTGGGCTGGACACTGAGGCATGATGGGCTGCTCACAGACAGTCCACGTGAGAGCAAAGACTAATCCAGACACTGTGTGGGGTGGGGTGGAGGTTGTCCCACCTCTTCACTGCACCATCCCTGAGCTGCTGCATCCTCAGGTGGAAACGGGAGGAAAACTCAAACTTTGTTCACCAGCTGCAGGCAGCATTTGTCCACCTGTAGATGGTCGATATAGCCAAACGCTATAGCACCACTGTTTTACAGAAAGTCTGAGGAGAAAGGCTAAATGTAAGGGCTAAAGCATGAGAAGGCTAGAAATTCATAAAATGCGTGTTTCCCACAAGTTTCTGTGTTTCCTTCCATAGACGTGTATGTCTGTGGTGTATCTCTGCTTTAGGAGGGATGCGTTTGTGGTTTCAGAGTTTAGTTGAAGTCCGTTACTCACCGTGCGGGGATGGCACTGATTGGCTTCTTGTAGATGGTGATGAGCTTGTCGAGCACCACGTCAGCACTGGTGAAGACCCGGTACGAGTGGAGGAAAGTGTTGAGGAAGTCGATGGAGAGGAAGCGCAGGTCGATCAGCCTCTCCAACAGGCGCTCCACGCTGGCGTAGCGGATCTGCAGCACCTTGCACGAGTTCATCATCTTGCTGAAACGGATGTCGACATCGTCGCAGTACAAGCTGGTGTCGGACCTGTTCAAGCAGATAGAGATAAGTCTCAGTGCTGCCCACCTCCAGAACAACATATTTAATTGTCTTGTGTGGATTAGAGGTTTTGACGTTGTCACACAATCGTATAAAAAGTTGCACAGCCCGTGAAGTTTCATTACAAGAAACAACTTGGCACGAGTTCTTCTCACTGATGTGCGCAGAGATTTTTAAATTTAATTAATGGAAAAGAACACACCGAGTCATTTAGGAATCCAGGAACATTCAAATGATTGTAAATGGACTGTACTTATATAGCAACTTTCTATCTTATTTCAAGATACTCAAAACGCTTTACACTACAACCTGTGCCTCATTTACCCTTTCATACAGCACTCTACTAGATCTCTACAAAGCTAATTGAACAAATCATTCTAAAGAGGCTAATCAGTGCTTTAGATCACATTCATACACCGATGGGACACACATCGAGGGGTTCAGTGTCTTGCCCAGGGACACTTCGACATGTGACTGCTGGTGGATTCGAACCCCCAACTCTCGCATTGGACGATGACTGCTCTAACCACTCAGTCACAGTCGCCCCTGTAGATGTTTCACAGAGTCTATATCCAGTTCTTTTGGTGGCTATATGAGTTTGGATCTGCATTTTAGGCCTGGTTTAGACATTAATAATATCGGGAATAAAGGCATAAGACTTTGTAGAACATGTGACAAAAAAAACAAAAAACAAAACAAAGTTCAATCAGATGAATGGTGTTCTGATTAGGGATGCACGATATTGGATTTGAACCGATACCAGTACCGATATTTTTCCCCCTAGCCCTACTTACAGAGACTACATAGCTTTCTCTGATGTGGAATTAAAATACTACATTATTCTGCATGGTCTTAGTTTGGCCTGCTACCAAAAACAGATAAAAGGGGCTGAAAATGATGTAACACTTCAACTTGGATTATGTTTAATGTCAAATTTATTCATGACATTTACTCTCTCGAACACAATGACAGCACTCAATCAGTGCAAATTTCACAAATCTAAATTCAACCTGTTCACAAGCGACAAGTGAAAACACATAAGTAGTAATGCATTAATAGACATACTTGACAGTTTCTTAAATTAAAAACAAACTTAAAACAGAAGTCTTTTATATCGGTGAGTTATTTTAATGCAATGGCCGATGTCCGATATTTAACTTTATCGCTAGTATCAGCTAATACCGATACCATGCCAATAATATCGTGCATCCCTAGTTTTGATTTTATTGAGATCTACTAAAATTTTTTTTCTATCGCTAATTCAAAGAAACGTTTGATCTCTTTCCACTGTAGCACGACGTATGAATATTCTGGACAATTTCTTCAGCTGTGAACCTCTTTACACTGATGGAATGGAATATGGGTCCAAATTATTAATGGACAGGAGCATTTTTAGAAGAGTTTATAATGGGGTTTCTCTCTGTCCTATGCCTTCTGTGCTGACACATATTGTGAGCGACGGCAGAAATGTGCTCGTTCTCTTCACACAACATTATTTATGTTTCACTCGTGCTCCACTGATCCAAAGTTTTGGTAACCTCTAGCCGCTCAGTGTAGATTGTGATTTATTACTGGAAACAAGTTCATTTCAGTTTCTCTTTAACACCAGGAGCTTGTTTTCTTCAGTGTTCTTGATCATTTAAAATGAGAGCTTCTGTGTGTAGTTATTAGGCCTGTCAAGATAACAAATTTTGCTGAGCGATTAATTGTCTCAGAAATTATAGCGATAAACGATAATATTGTTTGAATTTTTACAATAATTAGTAATTATTATCAAATTTAAGAAGAAAGGTTTAACTTGTTTTGCATTTAGTACCATTTTTACCACTGGATGGCAGTATAAGACTGTTTGAACCAAAGGATGGATAGTGAGGGAGCGAGCAGCGTGTCTCTTTACGAAAAATGGGAGGGAGGCCCCTTGACAAGACATGGGCTGTCTCTCTTCAGTTCTTAAAATGGCAGACGCTTGGTGTGGTTTGAGCTCTTTAGCATAGCATTTGTCACACAAAGCTTTTAATTTAAAAAATCAGTAAACAAGTTCCCAGCTTCTTTTTGCAAGAGAAAAACAACTTTTCACACGAAGGTACGGGTTTCACCATGAATTTTGGAGCTTCGACAAGACGGAGGTTTTTTTTCTCCGAGGTCAGCCTGTTAGCTTAGCTCGTAGCTTAGCTGCTCAGCTTAGCTGCTTTTAACCGTCCAAAAATGCGATTTTGGGTGGTTAAAACAGATTTTAAAGAGAAAAGAGAAAGGGAGGGGTCAGTGAAGAGCACCGGTGTTGAGCCTTTTGTCATCCAGTGTCTTCAGTAGAAAGAGAGAGACATGAAGAAACGGTAAAGCCGATAAATGAAAATGAGGTTAATTTTCATTTATCATGCAATTAATTGTTGTTTATTGCGACAGGCCTAGTAGTTATCATCTTTAAACTTTTTTTTTTAATGGGTTGCCCACAAAGCCTCCTGTTTTTGCACATTTTATGTAGGGCAGCACGGCAGCTTAGTTGTTAGCACTGTTGCCTCACGGCAAGAAAGTCCTCAGGTTCAACCCCCACGTCTCTGCCAGATTATCGAACACTTTTTGATAGTAGATGTTCAACTATTCTTCCATGTCCACGCCTAATCTTCTTGTCTCAACCTCACAGCCGTTTCTTGGATTCATCGCCCAGTCTGCCCCACATCTGGTTTGTTCTGCTTTTCAGATTCTGATAACTACGAGCCTTTCATGCCCATTTGGATTAAGGATTCCCATCTGAGTATATTCTCAGACCTCGGCCTCCCTGTGTATGACCCCTGCTTCTCATCTCGGACCACAATTAATGTTTGTCCCTCTGTCGGATAAACTCACAGCATTAAAAGCCTCCCTTTACAGCTGCTCGTCCACCATCTACGGTGACGTCATTACTACCACTGACACTGTCTCTCCAAGCTTTGGAAGTTGACTTTGTGCCTCGCCTCACCTGTCTGAGAAGACCAGTTCCTGTGATTGGATCCAGGCTTCCACCAGCAGCTTTAACATAATAAAATTGTTTAAATGTTCTTGGTGTCTGGCTGAACTCTTGAATCCAAAACCTGGTTCTTGTGAGATACAGGTAAGAAAAGCTCCTCACAAGGACAAAAGCAGAAATTATTGAGCTTCTCTTGACTTCTTTGTGCTTTATGGGGTGTTTTTATTGAAAGCTAACATCAGTTTCTGACTGTGTGTGTATAATGTATGAGTTTTGCTGCGTGGTGCCAGACTCTTACTTAATCATCTGCGGGACTGTGACTTTACTGTTTTCCACGAAGGCGTTCATCATCAGACCGTTGCAGCGGATGTTGTCAATGCACTGTGAGGCAGAGAGGTAGACAGAAAAAAAAGATCTGTGAGAGTAAAGCAACTCGAGACAAAAAGTGAGCCCTTCCCCCTAAAATCAAAACTGCAGTGGAAAATATTACAGGTTTGTTTGTCAAACTCAGACTTTTCTAAATGTGTACGAGCGGGTATTCATACCTGACTGATATCGCTCGTCCACGCTGACTTTTCCTGTCGGGATGAAGCAACAAGTATGACGTTGTAAGGCTGACCCTCTTTGGGCTCCACAATAATCTTAAAGTCCAGGTGCTCCGTGTCCTGGCTGCTCCTCTCCACTTTGGCTGCAAGGAGCAAAGTTGACAACCTTTATTTACTCAAAACAGAACAAGAAGTACTGAGGATGACTCTCAGCTACCGCACCAAATCTTAGCTGAATACAAGAAGTACTGAGGATGACTCTCAGCTACTGCACCAAATCTTAGCTGAATACAAGAAGTACTCAGGATGACTCTCAACTACCGCACCAAATCTTAGCTGAATATTGGTAAAAAACTGACTGAGTTATGACCATTTTTGTGTTTATTGTGATTACTTTCTGAGAGTTTAGTAAATCAGTTGACTAGTTACTGTGAAATTTTGAAACTAAAATATAAAATATGATGCAGAGGATAACTTACACTCGTCGTCTGTGCCCTCTGGCTCCTCCATCAGGGTGCAGTCAATGAGTGACACCACACCATTCTGTGATCAGATTGAGAGGTCACAGCTAACAGGATTCATTTACTTTTACTAATTAATGCTTGTTATCAAGCCTGAGGCTGTGATTACAGAGAAGAAATGATCTGAGCTCTTTAAACTTTTTTTTTTAAGCTGAAATTCTACATTTGCCACAAATTACCATAATTTCGAGACTACAAGCCGCAACTTTTTTCCACACGCTTTGAACACTGTGGCTTATACAATGATGCAGCTAATGTATGGGTTTGTACGGGCTAGCGAAGTTCATGCCACAAAAATGTTTAGCCTCGTCAAACTTTCATAGCTGCCCAAAACATTTCTCGTGATCACGTGAAACACATTGTCCCTGGGGGCGCAACAAAGTATTTGCAGCTGCTTGACATAAGTGTGAATGGTGCATTAAAAATGGCACTCTGAGCTTGGTGGGAGTGGATGACTTGTGGCGAGAAATCGTTTACCAAAACTGGCCACATACCAAGAGCAACCAACTTTTGCTCAAGTCTGCTAGAGGATCCTGACAGCATGGAGCGGTGTAAAAAAAATCCTCTATCACCATCGAGTTTCAGAACGGCTGGACTGCTGCATGATGAAGAGGACAGCACAAGCTCAAGTGCAAATCTGCCTCGAAATGAAAGTGATGTCGAGAGCGACAACGAACAAGAGACCGAGGACGTGTGTGATGGTTTTTCCGAGGCTGTTTAATTCTGACACTGAAGACAACTTTAGTAGTTTTAGTGCACATGAGGACTGAAGATAGCGTTCAATAGCTTTTCCTGGTAGGCTACTGTACCAGTATTTATTATAATTTAAGCAGCTGTGTTACAGGCAAAAAATAACAAAAAACATTTACTGTATGTATTTGTATGTTACCAGTACATATCGAATTAAAACTTTTAAAAATCTTTCTGTGCAAATATCTCATGTTACACGTGGACACCTGCAGCTTATAGACAAATGCAGCTGTGAGTGATTCCCTGTGAATCACTGGTGCAGCCGTTAAAGGGTTTTGATTCACTGTTGACAGAGTCCCAGACTCGTTTTCTTTATTATCTTTAAGTTTATTTATCTCCAATTATCATATTTATTTCTAACATTACTGAACGCATGCATATGCGCATACGTGCTGTCAAAAAACTATACGCCTTCTGGGCTACACATCGGTCCTAATCACAACTCAGAATACATTTCAGATAATTATCATGAACCGCCCACAAACAGGTGCATAGGCCTGTCACAATAACAAATTTTGCTGGGCAATAAGTAATTGTCAAATCTTAGAAGAAATGCTGATTTGGTTGGAGTGTAGTACTGTTTTTGACCACATGATGGAAGTATAAGACTGTTTGAACCAAAGGATGGATAGTTGAACAGAATGTCTCTATAAGAAAAATCGGAGGGAGGGCCCTTGACGTGACATGGTGGACGCTCGGTGATTCGGGCTCTTTAGCATAGCATTTTTCACACAAAGTTTTTAATAAAAAAATCAGTAAACAAGTTCTCAGTTTCTTTTAGCAGAGAAAACAACTTTTTACACAAAGGCAAGGGTTTCAACCATGAATTTTGGAGCTCGACAAGAGGGAGTTTTTTTCCCGAGGTCGGCCTGTTAGCTTAGCTCGTAGCTTAGCTTCACAGCTTAGCTGCCTTTATCCGTCCAAAGACATGATTTTGGATGGTTAAAATTAATTTGAATGAGAAAAGAGCAAGGGAGGGGTCACTTAAGAGCTCCGGAGTTGAGCCATGTCTTCAGTAGAAAGAGAGAGACACGAAGAAACGATAAAGCCGGTAAATGAAAGTGAGGTTGATAATTTTCATTCATCATACGATTAATTGATTTATTGTTTATTGCGATAGACCTACAGATGCATTCAATCACAAGGGAATGGTCTTTGCAGCAGCCTATATAAGAACAAATTGTTTTTCTTCTTAAAGTTAGTGGGTGAGACTTATATACAGGTGTGCCCAATAGTCCGGAAATTATGGTAATACCATATCTATTGACTTCATCATTCAATTCAAGTCAGTTCAATTCAGTTTGTTTAAGTAGAATCAAATCACAACAGAAGTTGTGTCAGGGCAATGTACAGAAACATTCACGTACATATAAAGTCAATAACATTATTTATCTAAAGAGCCAATAGATTGCTTTGAGTTTTCACTTCATCGTTGAGGTATTTAAATAGTTCACAAGCATTTACTGGTTTTGCTTGTCTGTTTGTTTTGATCCATTATTAGTAAAGTCAGCTGTACCTTAGTGAGGTGGAGTTTTCCTCCCGACCCTCGCGTACAAATGATGAGATGTTTGGAGAAAAGGAAACATTGTCTCTCGCCCTCCTTCTTCAGAGACAGAGAGCCCAGTCGACCTCTCGTGATTTTCCCTTTCTCGCTCATCGGCACCTGGATCAGAGAGCCTTAGCAAACAAACAGCAGAAATCATGCAGTTGGAAAAACCACAACTTGTAGGAAGTTTCAGATACATCCGTAACAAAAAACATTATCAACTTGTATTGTTTGTGGTTAAAGTCAAGATAAAAACCATGCATACATGTTACTAATTATTTAACTGACGAGCATGATTAGGCTGCAATGAAGTTTTCAATAGTGTGAATGTTTATGAAGCATTCACACTATTGTGATCCATTTTTCTTCCGTACATTTTCGGTATCTTTCGCGTTCCACAGTTTTTGTGCTATTTCAACAAATCATAAAATGTTCAGCTCTTTCAGGACAATCCTGCTATGACTTTTGGTATTGGTGCTTCTTTAGCTTTTTGAAATATTTAGCATTTCTGCCTTTTTTTTTTTTCTCAAAGAAAATGAATTGTGCAATGAATTTTACATACTTCAAATCTTTAGATCTGTTTACAGCCTTTTACTGCTCCTTTCACATTTTGTTCTGGTTCAGATTCTTTCAGCTTCCTTGTGCAAATGTAAACTTTTTTCAGCTAATTTCAGCTAATTTCATCTGTTTTTAACTGCTTTGTGCTCCTTTCAGATTTTTACTGCTAACTAGAAGATTGTTGTACTTATTCTAACTTCTTTCTGCTAATTTCAGCTTATTATGCTCCTTTCAGCTTATTTATGAAAGTTTCAGCTTTTTCTGCTATTTCAGCTACTATTTAGCTGTTTTATACTAATCTTAGCTTTTTCAACTAATTCCACATTTTTTTCCACTCATTTCATCTTTTTTCAGCCTAATTCAGCAAAAATGTGCTTTCTCCACTTCCTTCTAGTACCAGTAATTTAGGCTTCTTTCTGCTTTTTAAAATTATTTTCAGCTGTTTTCTTTTTGTTTTGTTTCGCTTTTCTTTTTTTGTTTGTTTGTTTTTTGCTAATTTCAGCTTTTTTCAGAAGAATTCCACTTTTTTTGTGCTAATTTCTGCTTCTTTCAGCCTAATTGGGCAAACGTGTTTTCTGCTTTCTTCTGTTAATTTAAGATTGTTCTACTGTTTCACTTGACTTTAATTTTTTTAGCATATTTCAGCTAATTTCAGCTGTTTTCAGATAAACTAAATTTTTTTGTAGTAATTTCTGCTGCATTCCTCCTAATTAATATATTTTTATAAATTTCAACTATTGTCCTTTCAGCTATTTTCTGATATTTCAGCTACTTTTTATCTGTTTTGTGCTAAATGTAGCTTTTTCAACTAATTCCACATTTCTATAGCTCATTTCAGCTCCTTCCACTTCCTTCTGGTAGTTTAAGCTTCTTTCTGCCTTTTCAGCTACTTTTCAGTCATGTTTTGCTAATTTCAGCTTTTTTAGCTAATTTCCTTATTTTTGTGATAATTTCTGCTTATTAAAACCTAATTCAGCAAATATGTGTTCTTTTTATTTTCTGCTAACTTAGGCTTGTTCTTCCATTTCAGCTAAATTTCATGTTTTTAACTAATTTCAGCTGCTTTTCAGCAAGTTCTTTAGCAATAAACATTCACACTGTATTTTTGCAGGAAATGCAATTTCTCTAGTTATTTTTGTATTTCTTTAAGATTATCAACATAATCAGGATGAATCTGACATCTCATACCTTGCCGTACAAACGTCTGACTCGTGTCAAGAAGCACCTCACAGCCCTCCACAATCATGCGCTCAATGGCCAGGTTCTTCCTGATGTTCTCCGTCTCACTCACCTCATCATGCATGATCCTGGAGGAAAATAAAAGTATTGTTTTGTGCAACTCATTTATAATCATCTCACATGAAGAAAAAAATCTGAATGTAACAGAAATTTTAGTTTGGCGCTCGTATTTAAAGTAGAAATAAGTAAAACATTTAAAAGATTTTAAACTTTTGAGCCCACTAGTTTGTTTTAGTTGCAGATCTTCATAAAGGCAGTGAACCTACCTGGACAGTTCCTCCAGTTTTGACTTGGCATAGTCCAAACTGTTCCTCTCCACGTGCTCGTGAGGAGTGTGCGCCAGCAACTCGTGCAACGTCAGAATGTACCGAGGGATCTGGGAGGGAGAAGAAGCTTTAAAGAGCTGTGGCTTGTAGTGCGAAGCGTTGGTCTTTTTGTTGTTTAAACACTAATAATTCTCATTCTTTAATTTGGAGCATTAAAAAAACACAGCAATTTGCAAACTTAAAGATTTAAAATAAACCCAACTCCACGTCTCTGAGAGATTTATCTGCTTACGATGAAAATCTCATCAGTTTTCTCCGACACTATGTGGCAGTAAAATGTACTGTAAATAAATAGTAACACTGCAGCGGTACATTTGGTTCTATTATAAATTTGTTGTGTTGCTGCTTCGACGCTGTAGCCCTGGACTCTAACCTGAAACATGGGGTAAGTGAGGAACGTCTCCAGTGTCCTCTCCTCGCAGTCGGGCTTGGCCTCGTACTGCTTCAGTAGTTTATCAAAGTCTCGGTTCTGTTTGCAGTGGGCCAGGATCTGCAGGCTGTACTGGTGGTTCCTCACGAACTCTTGGTAGATGTTCAGCATGGGCAGCAAGATGTCGAAGAGGTCGGCTGAAAAGAGAAGCAGCAGTGCCAATGACTACTTCAAGTTTAGCTGTAAAATTTAAAGAAAAACGCCTCGTCGAGGTCAGAACAATTAAGTCACGCAAAGTCCGGTTCTCTGCGGTTTTAAAACGCTACAAAAATCCACATTCAGAAAGTAAAGATTCGTCTTCTTTTGTTGTCCTTCATGCAGCCTTAATAAGTCTGCAGTGCTGGGTTTTTAGATTTTATGATGAAGTTCGTGTCACAAACCAACTTCCTATGGTTGATGAAGAAAAAGAAATAAACTGTGATCGACTGAGAGCTTTGCGCCTCTTACCCAGCACCAGTGTCGGCCAGCTGGATATCCTGGCCTTCAGGCCCTGATAGAAGATCTGGTGGAGGAACATGATGGTCTCACTAATAAAACAAAAATACACCAAATGTTCATTACCAACTAGCATTCTGCTTTTATTGTGTGAATGCTCATGAAGCATGTGATCCATTTTTCTTTCGTACATTTTTCAGCATCTTTGTCGTTCCACAGTTTTTGTGCTATTCCAACAAATCATCAAAACGTTCAGGACAATCCTGCAATGACTTTTGGTACTGGTGCAACTTTAGCTTTTTGAAATATTTAGCCTTTTCTGACATTTTTCCCTCATAGAAAATGAATTGTGCTCATTTTCCGTCCTTCAAATCTTTTGATATGTTTACAACCTTTTACTGCTCCTTTCACAGTTTGTTCTGCTTCAGCTTCTTTCAGCTTTGTTGTGCAAATTTAAACTTTGTTTCAGCTACTTTCAGCTGGTTTTTTTTCAGCTGTTTTGGGATACTTTGTACTTTTCAGATTCTTTCTGCTAACTACAACATTTTTGTGTTTCTTCTAACCTGTTAATTTCAGCTTTCAGCCCATTTCTGCAACTTTCAGTTTTTCTACTACTACTACTGTTTAGCTGTTTTTAAGCTAATTTAAGCCTTTTCAGATAATTCCACATTTTTTAACTAATTTCTGCTTCTTTCAGTCTAATTGGGCAATTTTTTTTTTCATTCATTCAACCTTTATTTAGACAGGTAAATCCCATTGAGCCTCCAGGACTCATTTACAAGAGAGACCTGAAAATTGGGCAAAACTGTGCTCTCTCCACTTCCTTCTGGTATTTTAAGCTTCTTTCTGCTTTTTACTTTTCAGTTGTTTTTTGCTCATTTCTGAAAAGTTCCAATTTTTTGGCGCCCATTTCTCTTCGTTCAACCTAATTGGGCAAATGTGTTCTTTCTGCTTGCTTCTGCTAATTAAGCTTGTTCTACATTTTCAGCTACATTTTTAGAATTTTGTTTTAGCTAATTTCAGCTGTTTTCAGATAAATTCAAGTATTTCATGGTAATTTCTTCTACTTTCAGCCTAATTAACTACTTTCAGCCTAATTAACTACTTTCAGCCTAATTAACTACTTTAAGCGAATTTCAGCTTGTCGTGCTCCTTTCAGCTTATTTTTGCTAGTTTTAGCTTTTTATGTTATTTCAGCTACTATTTAGCTGTTTTATGTTAATTTTAGCTTTTTCAGCTAATTCCACTTTTTATTTTTACTCATTTCAACTCTTTCCATTTTATTCTGGAAGCTTAGGCTTCTTTCTGCCTTTTCAGCTACTTTTCAGCTGTTTTTTGTGCTAATTTCAGCTATTTTTAGCTAATTTCCAAAATTTATTTGCTCATTTCTGCATAATTAAGCAAATATGTGCTCCTTCTGCTTTTTTCAACTCATTTAGCCTTGTTCTTCCATTTCAGCATGTTTTTAAGCTAATTTCAGCTGCTTTTCAGCTATTTCTTCTGCAACAAGCATTCACACTGCATTTTCACAGGAAATGCAATTTCTCTAGCTGCTCTTCTTGTTATCATTTAAGTCACTTCACTGCCTCAACCGGTCCAACCACCAGCTACCTGTTCAGGAAGATGCTGCTGACGTCATCGTGGGTGATGGGGGGTTTTTTGGAGCTGGCGGCCATGCGAAGAGGCCGCAGGAAGTTGTTGACCAAGATGTGGAGCTGCTGGACGTACTCGGCCTCGGCCTCGAGCATGCTGAACACCACCTGGTTCCTCTTCCTCATGCTTTCAGCGTGCGGCGAGCGGATGTAGTCCTGGATGATGGTCTTCCACTTCCGGCGGCAGATCCAGCCTCGCAAAAAACTCTGGACCTGTGGCGAACATGGTTAGCAGAGAAAGATGACGTGTTTCACATGCACACATGACGTGAACGCTGGAGTTGACTTTTACTTCACCTTCTTAATCTTCTTGATCTCCGTGTCGTCGTCGCTGGGCGGCACCTCTGGGTTTGACTGGATCTTCTCGTTATCCTTCAGGATTCCAGAAATCTGAAATTCAAAACAACAAGAAACGAGAGGGGAAAAAAAATCAGAATTACATCACAATTTGTCATTTTACAGGCACTTATCCCATGTAGGGAGATCACAAATCTGATAAAAAACTGATTTTTTAAAATATTTTTTTATTTTTCATGAATTCCCATGAATTTATGCAGCTATAACAGTATTTCAGCTACATTAACTTATCTTACAAATGTGTGCGTGCCTGTTGCTTGCACTTTTATGACCTGCATGCAAAAGGTTTTCCTGATTTTATAAATCTTTTAAGGTCATTTTAATCCACAGATAATGAAAAATCCCCACAGGGAAACATTATTAAGACGTTGGTCCAGTCTTGACAGGTGACCCAATTTTTTCTGCTTCTTTTAGGTAAGCTTTACAAATCCTGACCCGTATCTGACATCCTGGATGTCTTTTGTTGTTTTCTTTGACTCGTTGCACAAATTTCCACTCATGTTCCCGTCATGTTTTTTTTCTTTTTTAAGTTTTATATGAGATGAGTTTTTCTTTTTCCGTTTTAAACTAGTCACAACAAAACAAAAAGGAATAGTTTTAAACATGCATCCTCTTTAAACTGTTCTCAGTTCATTTTAGATATAAAACTATATGTGAAGATTTCAGTTCTATCTTTATGAACATGTTACACAAAGTCCAATTTGTAATCTGATGTCATATTTTCCGACAATGCTGCATGTTAGTATTTTTGTAATAATGTTTTATTCAGTTATGTAAACGACTGCCTTTTGATCAGCTCTGCTTTGGTCCATTAGCTGCTTCAAAGAGCTGACAGATACAAAAACTGAGGCAGCCATTTAAAAAATTGTCACTTAATTCGATTTTATTGTCGTTTTTTTTACATTCTCACCCATCACTTGGACTGAAAACACAAAATCTTGCCATAAAGAATGGATAATAAACAAAGTGCATTACTAGTGAACACTTTAGCGATGAAAAGGGAGAAAGCAGCTCATTATTTTGTAGTGCACTCTGTTGTATCATGGACAACAAAAGCTGATTCATGCATATTGAAAATGCTGGATTCAATTGAAGCATCCATTAGCACATTAAAGAGAGACACATTTGATCTGATTTCGACTGAATAATGAGCGTACAAAACATTCAGCAGTGTTAGAGTCTCCTGGGGGTTCTGCAAGCTGCAAAACACAACTCACAATTTGTGTTGTTGCTTTTTTTATGTTGGGTCGAGACCTTTTTTCTTCTCTTGAGCATTTTGTGCTTTTGGTCTCTCCGTCTCATTTCTATTGCTTTGTTCTCCTTTTTCACCATTTACTATAAAAAAAAAAACATGTGCACACAAATGGACGAAACTACAATGAAATTACATGTTACCTCCAATTTTAGCCGCTCTATCTCGATTTCCCCGTCCTCTATCTGTTGTCGAAGTTGCTTGGCAACCGTTTTCTCCGTCTCCACTATTTGGAGTAGATGAAGGTACTTCTGCATGAGGGTCTCATGCTCTGTAGCCAGGTTCCTGTAGCTGAACAGACACACGGCGAGGACCTCGTTAACGTGCGTTTCGCGGGGCTTCTTGTAAACTCTTCAAAGTTAACGCAGACCTGAGAACAGCTCGCGTTCGAGTCTTTCCATACGCACAAAGCGGAGCAACTAATTCTGCAAATACTGCGTATTTTACACAGCCTGCGTGAAAGCTGCTTCTGCACAAGCTAAACTTTGGCTGTTTGTTTTGTGAGGCTTGAAATGATTTTACTCCAGAAGTAACAAAGTGACAAAAAAGCCGGCTGCAGATGTGAAGAATACCAACTTTCTACTCAGACATGAGTGTTTGTCATTTTAACTCTCCAGGTCAGCTACAGTAAGTGCTGCTGCATCTAGGCCTGTCACGATTACAAATGTTGCTAGGCGATTAATTGTCTCAGAAATTATTGCGATAAATGATTATCCATCCATCCATCCATTATCTTTACCCGTTTATTCCATTTTGGGTCACGGGGGTCGCCGGTGCCCATGTCCAGCAATCACTGTGCGAGGGGCGGGGTACACCCTGGACGGGTCGCAAGTCCATCACAGGGCCACATAGAGACAAATGAGACAAACAACCATTCACTCTCTCACTCACACCTAGGGACAATTTAGAGTTACCAATCAGCCAAACATGCATGTTTTTGGACTGTGGGAGGAAACCGGAGTACCCGGAGAAAACCCACGCATGCACGGAGAGAACATGCAAACTCCACCCAGAGAGGCCCCTGGACCGGGGTTTGAACCAGGGACCTGCTCGCTGAGAGGCAGCAGCTCTACCAGTTGCGCCACCGTGCTGCCCATAAATGATTATATCGTTTGAAATTTGACAATAATTAGAAATTATTGTCAAATTTAAGAAGAAATGTTGGTTAATTTGTTTTGAGTGTAGTACCTTTTTTGACCCCCGGTTGGCAGTATAAAATTGTTTGAACTAAAGGATGGATAGTGAGAGAGAGAGAGAGCAGCGTGTCTCTAAGAAAAATGGGAGGGAGGCCCCTTGACGTGACATGTCTCTCTTCGGTTCTCAAAATGGCGGACACTCGGTGTGGTTTGAGCTCTTTAGCATAGCATTTTTCACACAAAACTTTTAATTAAAAAATCAGCAAACACGCTCTCAGCTTCTTTTTGCAGAGAAAAACTTTTTACATGAAGACACAGGTTTCAACCATGAATTTTGGAGCTTTGACAAGATAAAAGTTTTTTTCCCGAGGTAGGCCTGTTAGCTTAGTTCGTAGTTCAGCTTCACAGCTTATCTGCTTTTAACGATCCAAAAATGCAATTTTGGACAGCTAAAATGGATTTTAAAGAGAAAGGGAGGGGTCAGTGAAGAGCACCGGATTTCAGCCTTTTGTCATCCAGTGTCTTCAGAAAGAGAGAGACGCAAAGAAACGATAAAGCCGATAAATGAAAATGAGATCGATAATTTTCATTCATCATGCGATTAATTGATTTATTGTTTATCGTGGCAGGCCTAGCTCCATCTGCTGACCACTAATCAATTTAATTTGAAACCAGTTCAATCAACTGACCTTTTCCCAAACTAATGCACACAGATGACATTTTAAGACTTTGCTTTCATTATTCTCTTTCATGCCCGACTCTTACAGGACTGTTTCTTTTCCTATCACTTTATCAATATTTACGTCACTCCAGTAATGCGCCTGTTACATAAACAGTTCAAGTAAATTGATATGTGACTCTAAATTATGACATGTCCAATGTGCTTCTGACAGGAGACAGGTGCAGTGATCATAAATCAGGAAAAAATGGCTGACATGTTTATTTGTAAATCCATGTTCAGCTTCATGTGAGGTGTTTTCCTCAGAAAGTGGAAGATAACTGTGTGACTCTATGGGTGGCAGAATTGAAATGTTAACAATCTGACAAAATATAAGATTTGTGGTGAAAAATTAAAATGCATCTTGTTTCACATTTAAGGTTGTGTGCGTCTCACAATAAAAAAAAACACATAATTTGTCTTTACCAGCTATTTGAAATTGGTAAACCCAACCTCAGAGGCACAACTTGACAGAATAAAACTAAAGCTAGTTTTAACTGCAAAACATTAACTACATGACATTAATCAGTAGACAAACTACCCTAACCTTATAAATCTGTGATAACAACCTACTGAGCCCACTAGGAGGTAGAGGAGGTACAGTCTGAAGGAAACCTATGGGGATGATAATAACTGATAACGTGCATTTAATGGGTGAGAACATTTGAAGCTCAGAACTGCTGCTTCTGTGATCACATGTGGATGAGCTCAGTCCTACGTGTTTTAGAAACGCTTCTTTTCTTCACAAATCAGAAAGAATCGAAATTATTTTTTATGGTCAGTCAGGGTTATAAAAGCACTTTAGCTGGCTGAAAAAAAAAGTAAAAATTCAGAATTCTTCTAGAAATCACTTTTGAAATGCTTTGTGGTGCTCCCTAAAGAAGAGCCTCTGGTTCAAAGCCACTAAAACTCTCATCCATTCTAGGGTGCCATACATTGTACTTATTCAAAAATCAAATTTTGACAATTTGTCTAACAGTCTGTCTCAAGCAGAACCTTCAGTCTTGATGTTACATTTATTTGCATATCTATGGTTAGACTACTTTTTCAGTCCAGTGGGTTCCACAAAGTTCTTTTTGAGCTTCAGAACTGTGAATTAAACACGTTTATCAATGAGAATGAGGAGTCCTTCACTGACTCATGAAAGTCACTGATCCTGCACACACATACAAGTTTGTGAAGGTCAAAGGTCACGTCTGAGTTACCTGGCCTGTGTGATGGCAGCCACCCACTCGTCGCAGTCTTTCACGTCTTCAGTGCGCAGCTCCAACGTTTTCTGGTTCTCGTGGTTGAACGTAACAGTGAAGTAATACTAGAGGACACACATTAGAGAAAAGTTTCTGCATTTTTTCTATAAATAAAGGAAAATGGAATGTCTAAAACATACTTAAATTCGTTGTTCTGAACTGTGGAAAGCCTCCACGTTAATGTCATGTTGTCTTTTCTTGTTTTAGCATTTTCCACTAACACTCGCCCTTTTTCACTATGTTTCCCACTTCTTAAAGATTCACCTTAGGAAACTTTAGCAAATAGAGCTCACCACTGCACTGAATCTGCACTGGTGAAAGTTACTAATGATATTCTCATGGCCTCTGATAATTGACAGGTGTCTATGCTGGTCCTGTTAGACCTCAGTGATGCATTTGATACAGTTGATCTCAATATTCTACTCCAGAGACTTGAATATGATATATCGGGATTACAGGAACGGCTCTAAATGGGTTTAAATAGTATCTATCTGATAGATTCCAGTTTGTAAATGTAAATATGAATCTTCATCATACACCAAAGTTAGCCATGGAGTTCCTCAAGGTTCAGTGCTTGGACCAATACTCTTTACCTTGTATATGCTTCCATTAGGTAACGTTATTAAACAGCATGGGATACATTTTCATTGTTATGCTGATGATACACAGTTATATTTGTCCATGAAACCCAATGAATCCAATCAGCTACTTAGACTACAAGCATGTTTTAAAGACATAAAAACCTGGATGACCCTTAATTTTCTCCTGTTGAACACAGACAAGACTGAGGTTTTGGTTTGTGGACCTGAGCATTTTAGGAATAAATTTTTCAGTCTTTCGTCCTCCTTGGATGACATTAATCTGGCCTCCAGCTCTAATGTTAAAAAACTTGGTGTTATTTTTGATCAGGACATGCCTTTTATCCCCCACATTAAAAACCTTACTAAAACTGCCTTCTTCCACCTGCGTAATATCACTAAAATTAGAAACATCTTATCTAAAAATGATGCAGAAAAACTTGTTCATGCATTTGTCATGTCTAGACTGGACTATTGCAATGGTTTATTATCTGGATGTCCAAATACTTCTTTAAAACGTCTTCAGTTGATCCAAAATGTTGCTGCCAGAGTCTTAACTGGGGTTAGTAGGAGAGATCATATTTGTCCAGTTTTAGTTTCTCTCCACTGGCTCCCTGTCAAATCCAGAATAGAATTCAAAATCCTACTTCTAACCTACAAAGCTCTCAACAACCTAGCTCCATCTTAAATTCAAGATCTTATTGTTCCATATTTTCCTAACAGGGCACTTCGCTCTCAGACTGCAGGTTTACTCGTGGTCCCTAGAGTTTTCAAAAGCAGAATGGGAGGAAGATCTTTCAGTTATCAGGCTCCTCTCTTGTGGAACCAACTTCCAGTTTCTGTCCATGAGGCTGACACATTGTCCAGTTTTAAGACTGGGCTTAAGACTTTCCTTTTTGATAAATCCTCTAGTTAGGGTTGGCTTGTTATGCTGCCTTAAGCTTAGACTACTGGAGGGCAAACTGACCTAATTTCCTTAAATGAATTGTTAAAATTGAATAGTTTTCATCTGATGTTATTTCTATCTTAACATGTGATTCTGGACCTGCCATTGTGTATCTGTTCCTACCAAACCCAGCCGGTCGAAGCAGATGGACGCTTGACCTGAGCCTGGTTCTGATAAAAGTTTCTTCCTCGTGAGTGAGTTTTTCCTTTCCACTGTCGCCTTCATGCTTGCTCAAGATGAGAGTCTGTGATGGAGTTAAATTCAAAGCAGTCTGCTCCTCAGATAAATAGTCATAAATTATTGTTTTTAAATATGAATGTTTCTGTTCAGTGCCCAGAGATGACTTTTGTTGTGACTTGGCGCTATATAAATAAACTGAATTGAATTGAATTAGATATTCAGTCTTTTAAAAACGTGTTCTTTAAACAGCTTATAAGAAAAAGTCCTCACATTAAAGTTATCTCTTATGAAATAAAATAATGTTCCAAATTTCCTCATGAGCAGAGCCAACATTTATCACAAATAATAATAACAATAATGTGCAAGTTTCAAGGCTTTAAATACTTTTTTCTTCTACATGTACAGCTGGTCGTAAATAAGATGTTGGGACATGAAGGAGGTTTAAAACAATTTAGGAAAATAGATAAAAATATCATAAAGTCTCAAGGATGAAATAATGTCTGAAGAAAGACACATTTACACACTAAAATCTAACGTTTAGAAAAATCGCATTGTCTTGAAATTCCTTTGGCTATCTTTGACAACAAAAGTTGTTAAAATAATATTTTACATTGTGGTTTTTATTGCCAGGACTTACCCTCTAAGTTAGCTTTTACAATAAGTCAGTAGCGATAGTAGAAAGTGATATTACACACTTCATTTAGGACTGATTCATGAACAGAATAATAAAAGCAGAATCCAGTGATCCAATGGTTAAGTTCGGAGAGTGTCATTAAAACCTGTCCAGTGGGTTATGAGACAGTTTGCTAACAGACACTCAAACGTGTGCACACACACAGACACAGTAGGTACATGATCGCCCTCCTTTCATGGCAGTAGAAAATATATAAAATAAATAAATTTAAAAAACTCTGAAATGACCCACATTCGTTTCCTTGTACACTCATATTTTTAGCACTTAAGGAGCACAATGCCAAAACATGTTGTACATTTTGCCCCCCCTCCTTCCTTTAAATGCACTTTTCCGATGCAAATAGGGGTTGCCATGGTAACTGTGGGTTCAAAACGTAGCTCGCCTTCTAAATGGGGAATAAGAACATTTAAGAAGTGGAGCATTCCAAAGAACACAATGAGAATGGAGAGGGAGACTGACGGGGGGATGGGGGGGGGGTCTTTTTGCCTTTTTGAGGAGTGAGGGCTATAAAAAGCTCTGTAGCTCTGCAAAGTGGCAGTTGGCTTGGCATCTATCTGCTGCATTGTACCTCTCCTGTCCTGCACACACAGATACGATCGTTCCTCCTGCACGCACTCTCACACAAACGCACTCGGCTCAACAAAAAAAATCTGAAACCTGCATTAATCCAAACACGTAACAGGTTTAATGTCAGGAGGGTGCAGTGGCCATGCCTCCAACGACCTCTGCGGTCTGACTCCAGTGTCATTCTCTGTTCATCTCCAGAGGAGAAATGAAAATGGGGGGGAAATCTGTACGCATGCACACGCAAACACGCCGAGCATTAATTAGTCTTTCTGTCCTCGTTTCACCTCTTCCGTGCAGCCGCTCAGCGTTGCAGTCTGGTAGTGGCGTATGCAGGACATTTAAGACTTACAAACAAGATGAGACGAGTCGAAAAAGACGTGCAGATGTGGACAAACAGGCCCGACTTGTTGGGCTCCACAGAAAACGCAGCTCTCATAAGGAAAACGTCTTCATTATAATAAATTTGCATGCATGTGCTCATAAAATTGGTGAAAAAAATATTCCAAACATTATTCCTGCTATGTTATTTTAAAAAAAAAAAGAGAGACACGTGCTGAACAGAGAGCTGTGTTCTGCTAATCGAAGGCTTTCAAATTCATTTAATTGACTGCTGAAATCAATTTAGTGGAGCGGACTGCATGAAGAGTTCATGTCCAGGATGTCACTCGTATTTCATGCATGACCACCAGACGAAGTTCATCTAAAAGCAATACGAAGCAAACTACCAGCGCTTTACAGAAGAGTACAATACAAAAAATATATTTACAGCTTTAAACTCAGTCCCTGACTGATCCAGGTACAGACACCAACATGGAGTAAAGTTAACTGGACCAGGGTTAACCGGGTCTTCACCTTATCCTTTCAGGAGTTTATATAGTAATATACAAACATTATAAAATAAGTCCTAAACTCAAGAACACAACTGAACACTGTTTAAGATGTAAGGGCTGAGCTAAAGTCAATAATGTCCTATTTAAAAAAGACACACGAGGAATACATATCAGGTGTGTATAGATTGGGCCTTGATGAAATGCTCCACAATTTTCTGCATCAGAAACATGTACGCTCTACTAAGATAGAAGGAAAACATGCAATCCTGCTGGCTATGTAGTTTGTAGTTTCCATTTTTTCTGTTTGAGTTCATCAAGTTTTAAATACTCTTATCTAAATCTGCTAGGCATATATAAAACAATGTATTTGATTGATGTTATTAGGACGGTGTGATTCACAGCAATTCTTTGCAACTTCCATATTGCGATGATAAATTTGGCTCTAAAGATAGTTGCAGCCTTATGAGTTCCTTAGTCTTGCATAAAACTTGTTCTGTTTGCACTGTGGGCTGATCGTCAGCGATCATCCCATTTCAACAAGTGGGGAAAACACACCCTTATTGCCATTTAATAATAATTAAATGTCCCATTGCTTTTATTGTGATGTCTCTGTGCAGACATCAGAAGGTGACTGCAGTCTTTGGCTCCTAAATCCCTGAGTTACTAGTTCCTGCACTGGTTTTCCTCAAAGTCATCGTTCAGTAAACATGTTTGGCTATTGTTGCGCATGTTATATGTTGTAAAAATGTAGCTAAACCAGACTGGGGGTGCAGTGATAAACAGCAGAAGGACTGTGCTGTGGTTTGGCTGCTGGTCATGGATGTGGTTAACAGCTCATGTCAATGAGGGGAGCTGTCAAATGAGAGATAAACCAGGGGAGACACAGTTGCTAAGGTAGGATGCTATTAATATCAAGGCGAGCAATTAAATCAATACGTAAGCCACAAGCAAAATGGAGGGAGGGGGACACAAGATGACAACCTGAAACAGCTGGGACCTAGTTGAAGTTTTGTCCTGATTCTCCATGGCCTGTTTGCCTCTTAAAGACAAACTCTAAATGATGCCACACATATTGAGAAGATAAAGAAGCTCAAAAAGGTTTGCAAAGTTTTCTTACGCGTGCTTTCCCCTAAGCAATAGTTTTATTTTGTTTGTTTTTTCAGGCCTGGGCTCGAACCCGCAACCTCTGGAATATGAGACCGCAGCTGTGCCCACCTAGCTACCCTAGCCACTTACAAAAAGTGTTCCTTCAGCTAAATGTCAGCAGCCTAACAACGTTTTAGAGCAGGATGGAGACGATAACTTAAGATGACGTCATGACGTAACCCTGAACGTCAAGAGAAGTAAACCCAAGACTGTTTACATACACAGAACAAATAAAAACATAAATAAAACAGCGTGTGTGCTGCAGCTGCAGCGATGGCAGCAACTTTCAGAGGACGTCCCTCGTGGTTGACAACTTGTTTCGGGTCTTACCTGCTTCTCTAAACATTCTTTAGCAGAGAGAAGCGGTTTGGGGGACGGCGCGCGCTCGCACACGCATCCCTCCAACAGGTAGAGTCCCGAGGGGCGCGAGCTGGAGTCGCTCTCGAAATAAAACAGCATGTTCTGCAACAACGAGAACCACTTGGCGTGCCATTTCGTGTTGTCCGAGCTCTTCTTGCACAGGAAGCCTCGCCTCGTGCCGTCCTTCTTCGCCAGATGCGCGAGATACGTGACGTGTCCATCGTTCAGCCTCATCCCCTTCTGCATGTTGGAGCTGGGGGGGTCTTACATCCTCTCACCTCCCGCTCCTTAACTCCGCAGCGCTGTCTCACTCAGCTACAGCAGCCCACTCTCGAGCGCCCATCTCCACGCGCACAAGGCGGCCGCCGCGGCGTTTGACGCTCGCGCGCGGGACTGAGTTCGTCTGCTCCGAGCTCTGCTGCGGGCGAACTGCGCGCACAGTGTCAGAGAGGAGGCTTCACGAGCATGATGAGGACCCAACTGTCTGCGTGCACGGAGCGCGCAACGGCATCCTGCCCCTCGCACGAGGAGGATGCGCAGTCACGTGATCTGGTTGCTTTAAAGGGCTATCCGGTCCCTGTCTAACCAAAGCAGGAGCTGTGTCCACATTCTTGGTACAAACTGGAGCTCATTCTAGGAGCGGGTTGGACTCCCTCGTTCTGAACCTGTTGGTGGTGTTCATGGACATCACCTCGAGGTGCAGCTGTGGAGAGGAGGTGCAGCTGTGGAGAGGAGGGGGGACCTCAGGCTCTCATCTCTGCTTTATGTAGATGATGTGGTTCTGTTGACCCTGATCTTGTACCGGAGCCTTCACAGTGAAGCAGCTGTTCCTCTAAGTCTGAGGCCATGGTTCTTGACAGGAAACAGGTGGAACGCTCCCCTGTGGTCCTGAGATTTGGATCATGACCAAAAGAATAAGATCCAAACAAGCAGCTGAAATGAGCTTCTTTATGGGTGGTGGGGCTCAGCCTTTGAGATGGGGTGAAGAGCGCTCTCATCCGGGGGGGAGCTCAGATTAGAGCCGCTGCCTCTCTGAAAAGAGTCAGTTAAAGTCCAACCATTTTCAGTCAGGTCATCAGGACAGTTTCTTTTATTTATTTATGTATTTTTGGTGCTGAAACGTTTCACCTTCCATCCAGAAGGCTTCATCAGTCAAGGAAACACACAACACAAAACTGATTCTTCCCCCAACAGCTTACTCTAAAGTGGAACAAACCAGTTATGTTGGTGCTAAGATGGTCTCTTTGCACACACCCTCTTCCTGTGCCCGCCCTCTTCTTCATGGACAGTCATGTCAAACTGGTTCAAAACCAACAAAGTCCGTGCTCAATAATCCAGGTATACAATCCAACAATTTTCAGTCAGTTTTTTTTTTTTTTGTGCTAAAACGTTTCACCTTCTGATGAAGCCTTCTGGATGGAAGGTGAAATGTTTCAGCACAAAAAAAAAAAAGAAAAGAAACTGTCCAGATGACCTGACTGAAAATAGTTGGATTGTATGCCTGGATTATTGAGCATGGACTTTGTTAGTCAAAGTGGTTTGGGCGTGATGCCTCCTGGACGCCTCCCTGTGGAGGTTTTCTGAGCATGTTCTACTGGCAAGAGGTCCTGAAGTCTTACTGGAGGGACTTTATATATTCTCTGGTCTGGGAATGCCTCAGTGTCCCCCACGAAGAGCTGAAAAATTGTTACTTGGGAAGGGAAGTTTGAGATTGTCATCATTGTATGTTTCCAGACAATGACAAACTTGGTTCTCTGCATTTAATCCATCACATGTGAGATACACCCAGGTGGAGCAGTGGGCAGCTTTGTGGGCACCCAGGGAGCAATTAGGGATTGGGTGTCTTGCTCAGAGACACCACAACATGTGGACATGGCTGGGAGTCAAATCAGGACTTTCTGGTCCCAAGTCAGCTGCTCTACCCCACCAAGAGAAGGATGTCTGGGTTTCTGTTCTGGACCTGTTGCCTTCACGGCCTGAGAACAAAGACAGAAGAAGATGGAGCTGACATGGATTCAGCTGCTCGATGCCTGGTTACATCGGTTCATTTATTTGCTGTGCAGTGTCATGAAATGATATTTGTTATAAGTTTATGTCGTATAAATAAACTAGATGAACGTATATATTTTGAAATGATCTCTGAACCTTTGTCCTTGTCTTTTTCTCTCCTGTCCAGCCTCCCTCTTATAAAACACACACAGAGTTAACCACAGCCTCTCCACGCTATCCACTGCTGGTATATTTACATATCTGAGAGGGCGAGAGAGATGCTCATTAGGGCTGGCCCATAATTAATCCTGGATTAACATATTGGGTCGAGGACAAACACAATAGTTTGTTTCATCACAGGGTGTTTGGGATCACAGTGCTGTGTCTGTGCGGGATCATTCAAATGATCCAGGGAGGAATTAATGAGATTTGATGGCTCTTTTAATTTAAAAGAAAAGAGAAGATCATCCACTTTTACATATTTTTCTTTTACTTTTTTTTAAATCAGGTGCAATGAAGGTGGCAGTAGAGTGAAAAGTGTAACAGCTGCAGCACGGACTGCACCGCAGCGGCATTAAAAGTCCAAGTCCAGGATGCTCCAGGCTCATGATGCTGAGATCCTCCCATCCGTCCCACAATTAGCCCCTCAGACAAGAGTGGTAATGAGGTGGTGATTCTCTTCCACGACCGGCGCTGATAGTACGGATTATTTTTATGTTTTCTTTTTATAGATGGTTTAAAAATGGAAAGTGATGCAGAAGATTGTTGCGACACAGCCACTGTGACATTTGCGAAAAGGTCACTCAAACCCATGAAGCTGTGGCCAATCAGAGGGCGAGGATGTTGGACAGATTGTGCATCAGGTTGTTGAGGCATCCTTTATGGGCTGATTGAGTTTTCCATCAACATAGACAATAAAATTGGGGTTGATTGAAAGTGCTGATAATTTAAGGGAATATTAAGACTGCATTATTTTTCTAGATAACCACAAAACACGATGTTTAATACACAGTATTATTTTACATTATTAGTGTTTACCTTAGATCCTCGTACACTGATTCTTTTTATACTTTATATTTTTGCTATTTTCAGGGACTTTGCGTACACAATTTTGTTCCACCTCATGTACCACATGTGATGTGAATGACAATAAAGAATCTTGAACCTTGATAAAAGCATTTGCTGTGTTCTTCACTCAGATGTTTGGTTTTAGATGTTTTTTTACCCGGCTTATTTCTGATAGTTTAAGTGTCTGTTGATGAGAGGTTTAGCTGTTTTATACAGTTCTTGCACTGAGGCATCCTTGATCAAGATGTTGACCCCAGATAAATGTCGCCAAAGTGCCGATCAATGTGAATAAAAATCCCTGGATGAATGGGGTCAGTAAGGTTGAGCACTTGGAACGGTCAATAAATGCCAAAATAAACCATTAACAGATGGATGGTTATTAAAGCAAATTAGTTATTTCATTGTTGAAAGTTTATTTACTTATTTATTTGATTGTTTGCTTGTGATGTTCTTTAAAATGGAAACAAAAAGGCTGGCCCCAAGATTCAAGCACATTTTGCTGATGATTAATTGACTAAACTCAGATCTGCACCTGTTGGGCAACAGAAGCAATCTGATGCTGCAGCCTGTTAGGACTGCTGTCATTCTGTGGGGGACGACGAGCAGTGTTGTGTTAAGACTCGGCTGTCCGCGACTATTACAGTACGAGTGTATTAAGAAAAAGTCAAGTATACAAAACTCAGTCAGGCATTCGGTTTTTAATCAGTATCTGACTGCACATAACGAACAAAACACATTTATCTCTGTGACCCCTCGGTGGCAGTTTGAGCTCTGGTTTTGGGAGTTTGGCTGCAGCTCGATGTTTTTGCAGCGTGCCAGGTGCTGCATGCAGGGTCACCACCTGGCTGCAGCCCTCTCAGGCTGAGCTCAAAGAACGAAACACAATTTGCATTTGCTTCACCAACAGTTTAAAACAAATAGGGCAAAATATGCTGAGAAACTGATGATGCATCAAAGTTCATGCTCAATAATCCAGGTAAAAAATCTAACAAAGTTCAGTCAGGTCATCTGGACGTTTATTTATTTTTTTCTTTATTATTATTTTTTTGTTGTTATTGAGATGTTTCATCCTCCATCCAAAGGACTTCATCAGTCTGAGGAGCCACAAACAAATTCAGTCCCACAAGCAGCACACTCCCAGAGTGGACTAACCAGTTTGCTGGTGATAAGATGGTTTCTGGGGTCCGCCCTCTCCCCCGTCGACTCCTCTGAGGCAGTCATAGCTAAAGAGGTTCAAAACATCAATGCTCAATAATCTAGGTAAAAAAATCTGATGATGCAGATTTCAATTTTAAGCATTGTATAACAAAAATATATTTTGAAGTCTTTTTTTTTTTAAATCATGTTATGTTGTGATTGTTGCTTTTTGTGTTGTACTGTGCTGTCACACAGCACTTAGTGCCCGCTGGATAATGATCAGACGTCCAATACAACAGAACGTATAGGTCAGGTCCTCTGGACGGTTTCTTTTGGTTAAAACGTTTCATCTTTCATCCAAAGGACTTCATCAGTCTGAGGAGCCCCAACAAACTCATCTTATGAAGTCCATTTTAGCACCATCAAACTGGTTGACCCACTATGTGATGGTGTTTTATACAACACTGAATTTGCTGTGGCTCCTCGGACTGATGAAGTCCTTTGGATTAAAGACAAAATATTTCAACAAAAACTAACTGTCCAGAGGACCTGATTTAACTTTGTTGGATTTTTCTACCTGGATTATTGAGCATGATGATTTGGCAATTATTTTAATGCAAGATGACCTTCTAGATGCAACATGGGCTTGTACTTTAGCCTCAGGATTTAAAGACCATTGTTATGTTTAACTGAATGTCCAGAAACAAGGACTGAGGAGTGAACAAACTTCAAGACAGAGAATAAATTTAAAGTGATTTTATTTACAGTGGGTAATAAAGCAAATCAGGAACCCTGAGGAGCAAGGACACGAGTTAGATGATATTTTCCAAGAGGAGGATGATATTACTGGTAGATTTCAGACATTAATGTAGGTTGGGTAATAAGGTGAGGAAGGCAGCTGAGACAGAGGAAATTTCCAGGGATTCTTCAAACAAGTCTAGGCACAGGTAGTTCACGAGGAGAGCTACTGTAGATAGCAAAAAGAACACAGGTAAGTCTTTCTCAAGGATCATAGAACACAAAAGGGCTAGAAAAACGACTACCAGAGACAGGTAATGCTCCAGCGGCGAGGAGAAGTCATCTACTGCCCTTTACTACTAACGTCTCGTTAAGACGATTATCTTCAGGTGTGGAAATGTTGGCACCATCTAGTGTCTTCAGAGCAGCAGGAAAATCAGGAACTCCCACCACCATGGCACTGACCACTGAGCCATTGGTACCCATTAATAAAGA